CCAAATTTTTTTGCCGCAGTTGACGTCGGAACTCCTCGTCTGCATTCTCGAATAGCGGCTTCCATATCAGCCTCAGAGTAACGAAACATCTGTCCTTTTATTGGCGGCATAGTTATCAGTCTGGAACAATAGGACCAATAATTGACATCATGTATACCCCAATAATAGACACCATGTCTACCTTTAGTTACAGTGATCCTACATTATTAATATCTCTACAGCAATATTTTCATTAAGAATAGAGTTCAAAAACGCACCGAACCGTACATAAGAGTTTAACACGTAGAAACACTAATGGATGACACGTCTGTCATCTATTAGATATTCAGTTTTTTTGGAACTAATAGTAGACATGTTACAATTTGTCGGAAAAATATTAGCAAACAGAAGAAAAGCGCGCTTATCACTAACCCAAGTTATTATTAATACGTATACAAATGAAAAAAAAAGTATTTTCATAACAAATATGGATTCAAAACTCACCTTATAATTTCGGCGTCCTTAAACTAAAAATTAGGAAATCGCGGAACGCGTGCTCACTCCGTCACATGTTTGGCAACAACTGACGCCATTTTGAAATTTCGTTCAGAAACTGTCGGGAGTTTTTGAGAACAATTCATAGATGGTGCTAGGTGTGCTATGGTGTTGTAGTAAGAGTCATTTTACTAAAGTTGTTTTTAATACAAGGATTTTTTTTCGTAGGTGTCATCCTTTAGGTCAATGTCTAGCATTAGTGACTTCACCTTATATGTATTTTAAAATGCAGTGCAAGTCGGTGAAGCGCCACTCTTATGTGATCCGTGTACTTTTTAAGAAGTAGCAAAGTAATGTAGTCTTGAGACATATAATCCTACCACAAAAACTGTGCATCAAGTTTCTCCGAGTATATTTGTTGCATAAACTAAAAATGCATTTATCAAATGTAACAGTTATAAAAGTGAGCTGCAATACTAATTTAATTATGGAGATATTACTGTAGAGTATTTTTTTTTTTGTTACTCTTACTATTTTATTATGGAAGTAATATTGTATTTTGAAATTAAATGTTTTAATACTCTTCTATTGTATCTAATTATTTAAGTACAATCTTACACATGTGGAGTAAAAACCACTTCACACTTACACAACCTTTAAGTGATTGTAACACTAAAGTATGTATCTGTTGCATGTAACATAAAACCGAACTAGTGTGTACAATTGTTGGTAAACCAATAAGTAAATAAATATTTATTAAAAAAAAAATGGTGGTAAGACAGAGATAGGCCTTTTTGTGAGAATAGAAAATTATCACAGGTAGTGTCAGACTCTTACTGACTAAAAAGACCCTGTTTCAACTCCTGTTCTATGGTGGGCAGACCCCAGCGGTAGAGGTAGCCCTTTCTGGTTTTACTAGACATTAGAAATAGAAACAGACACCTGTTTACAAAAAGGATATGATGTGCAAGAGCAATACTGAATACACCAACTTTTGGATATTCGATTCTAAATATAGGAAATTGTTTCTTATCTAATTGAAATAAAAAATTATCAAAATTCTGCTGTAACTAGGAAATTAAAGCCATCACCAATCTCTCATGATAAATGATCGAGTTGTTTTTTTGCGAAATCGCATAAAAAATAGATGTAGGTACTTGGGTATTTACCCAAGTAGGTACCTACCTACCTACCTACATCTTATTTTTCATCACTCACATCTACCTATACAGATTTGAGTTATTTCTTAGTTCTTCTTTAGTTGTCATATTTGTACCTACATAAATTACAATAAATAAACAAACCGGAATTAAATTTTTCGTTATTCTGGAAATTAACTGATGCCACGCACGAATGGAGAAGCAGCTGCTTAAGTCAATGCTGACCGTGCCATCAAGTGATAAATATTACTTGTCATGTCACGATATAAAACACGCTGTAAAATATTTACATGACTTACACTGTTACTTGTTCAAAAAATGCAAACGTTAATGTTCCATTTTACTATTTCCGAAACGCCTACACGCAATATTTATGCTGTTGCATAGATTAAAAATACAAGAAGTACTTATCAGGAAGCGATATTACCTACTGCTAGGTACAGAAATGCGCAAGAAGTTACCGTTACCGTGGCTCTGGCACGAAACAGGAGCAGGAACAGGGTGGTTTTAGCCCGTAAGAGTCGTGAAATCCCTCTGGCCATACTCTGGTAGGTAGGGAGGAGGTATTCGATGATGAAAAGCTATGTACATACATCAATAATTAAAAAAAACACCGGCCGACTTAGGAACCCTCTTTTAGGAAAGTGTTAAAAAATAGGTACCTATATAAGCAAGAGGAAGTTCAAAATTTTCGTTCGTTTCAACCCACAGACAACTATTTAGTAAGTATCTGTGGTATCTATCTATCTATGATCTAAGTACTCACATATATGGATGTTTATCCACGATTTCAAATAGCAAGTTAAATACGAATTAAGCTGTCTTGCTACAATAATTTTAGTATGATTGACGTAAATTTTTTACAGTAAGTAATCTTTGTTTTACATCGACCATGTTGCGTTCTATTGAATGAACCCATTATGTGACGTTTATGTTTTCGCGCGCCAACTCAACTGTGAACGGTGTGAACTCACTTTCGATTAACACTTCACTTCCTTTTCCGTAATTAATCTTAGTACTCAAAACACTATTTTAATGAATTACCCTTGTATCTGTAGTAAATATATAGATAACGTAAGATATTATTTATATACAAGAGTGTACCTAATTATATTTTTTTCTTCTAAGCCCCTAAGGCATGTTTCTATTTGACTATATTTTTAGTCCCTACCTATTGATCATTAGTTGAGCATACACATTTTCTGGATAATGTTTTATGTTTCATAGATAATTAACGCGCAAAGTTGATACAAATTCCTTCTTTAAAATTCGTTGAATTCTTTCTAAAAGATTCAACGAATTTTCTTTTAGTATTTCGTAGAGTATTGTGAAATCAGGATCACGTGCGTGTATTAATAAAATGATAAACGTTAACGTTCACTGTAAAGGTGAGTGACTTGTAATAGCGTATAATTTACCGCACCGCCTGACAGAATTCCCATTACAGTTGATGGATTGATGGATCTAAAATACTTACCTAAAAACTTACATCCTTCTTGTATCGTATCCTTCAGTGCGGTCGTAAGCGACCACCATTCCACATCACAACCATCTGTATCACTTTCTACCTATGTATGTAGGTACATACTTACCTACTTGTAACTTTTTTACTTATGACGAAATAGATCATCATTGAATACAGGCTATCGTATATTTATAGGAGCTAAAACCTGGCTGTTAGGGCTGAAACTGCGGCAGACGTCCGCGACGGACACCTATTGCGTGATCACGCGCGGGGCAATTATTAGTTAAGTGTCGCTAATGCAACTTTAACAATTGTATTCTTTGGGTTGTCGTATCGATAGAAAGCTTAGTTTTTTTTTTTAAGGGGGGAAAATCATCGAATGACTGCTCCCGCCTGGGTGAGGCGGAAGGTAGTGTCAGACTCTTACTGACTAAAAACCACCCCGTTCCTTCTCCTGCTAGTCGACCCGGAGCCCCGGTTACCCGTTAGGTTCTCCGCGACAGAAAGCTTAGTATAATAAATTATTACGTAGCAAAATGACGACGACTTCCAAAATGAAGACGACAGCCTGTAAACCCGTTTGTAGTGATAGGCACAGATAATTTTTGTATGTCGCACTGGCATTTTTTGCAAACGCAATTTCTAGCCTTAAAGTGACGCCAGTTATGTGAAAACGATGAGGACAATCAAAGAGAAGATGAATAGTCTGTGCCTGCGGTATTAAGTCCACCCATGTGCTTGTTTGTGTGCATAAAGCTTTTAAATAAATAATTAAATAAATAGTCTATGTGAACAGAGACAGAAAGAAGAAGAGTTAGTGATGTGCTGAGGAGAAAATGAAAGAAGAATACATATTGCACAGACCCAGTGGTAACCAAGGATAAGGGCAGAAAAATTTAGAAGGAGACTGAAGCGAATATACCTACCCTTCTACAATGTTTACGCAGGTGACTTCCTAAAGTAAAGGACAAGTCATAATACTTATAAAACAGTTGCCATAAATGATAACAATATAACGTACTCATTACCCAAAATACCCAATTAATAATAACATGTGTAAGTCATGTCATGTCAACTGTTTTATAATAATCAGCCCAGTCATCTATTGTGGCTACCGTTGCAGCGAAACATTAAAACATTGCGTCACGTTGTTCTCATGTGCTAGTCACCTATTGCATTGAAAAGATACATCAATAAACCTATCGAGTTTTTTTTTTTTAACTCGTCGAGTACCGGTTTTATAGACACAATTAAAGAACAATAGGTCGCGGTCACCGGTGACCGCTTGGTGTTTGACAGATTAAGGGGGGAAAATCATCGAATGACTGCTCCCGCCTGGGTGAGGCGGAAGGGAGTGTCAGAATCTTACTGACTAAAAACCACCCCGTTCCTTCTCCTGCACGTCGAGCCGGAGCCCCGGTTACCCGTTAGGTTCTCCGCGACAAACCTATTGAGTTTAGATCCCAATAGAGTTAGGAAAAGTTTCTTATACCTTTTTTGAGGGGGGAAAATAATCCAATGACTTCTCCGGCCTTGGGTTTAGCGACAGGAAGTGTAGGACTCTTACTGACAAAAAGCCACCTCGTTCCTACTCCTGCTCTTCGAGCTGGAGCCCCGGCAACCCGTTAGGCTTTCCGCGGCTCCGTAAAGTATTTAATACTTAAGACTAAAGTTTTCTGCGAAATCAGATATGGTGAATATTTTAGAAGATTTGAATAACACACATATATTTATCACAGCACCATTCATTTACTCCACTTACATTTGGTTTTCCACACACGTACCACAATAATTTATTGTAACAAGGTTCCCTGCTCATAACATTCTAGTGGGAATATTAACAACCGTGCAACTAACAATACCGTTACACTTGGAATATTCTACTTACTAAAGTTCGTTAACTAACTACTTAGGGTCGTTGTTGTCGTTGTCTCCTCCGTGTCAGACCGAGACTGGAATCCATGGAATCCCGTGTTACCGTGCACGGTCACCGTGTGATGAGGTGTACTTGAAATTACAGGTGTGTTGTCAGTCACATAATTCTCTGTATACTGAGAAGTGTACGAATTACCATCGAACAATTGGTAGGGGTTGTGGATCACAACCGGCACTTCCACGGGTACCTTCACTGGCACTTTTACCGTGACTGGTACTCTAACTGGATACGGAACTTTAACTGGGTAGGGTACTTTTTTTTCGACAGGGTAAGGTCTTGGCACATATACCGGCACTCGTTTCTCCACTTCTACTTTATGAGGAACACGTACTTCGAATGGGACTGGAACTTTTTTCTCCACTTCGACTGGATAAGGCACTTTTTTCTCAACGGTTACTGGATACGGATGCGGTACTTTTACTGGATACGGCTGAGGATAAGGAACCTTAACTGGAACGTGTTTTATTACTTCAACTGGTTCTTTGACCCTTACTTCCACTGGATAAGGCACTTTCGTTTCGACTGGATACGGTTGTGGGACCAGTACTTTGACCGGTACCGGGTACGGTACTTGCTTCTCTACTTTTACTGGTACAGGGACGGGCCTATCCACAGGTACTGGCACATTGACTTTTACTGGATACGGTACCCTTTTCTCCACGTGGACTGGCACTGCCACTTTCACTGGCACATGTTTCACTACTGGGACCTGTTGAACTACGGCATATGGTCGCGGTACGTACTCCTTTTCTACCACTTTCACAGGCACAGGATGTGGTATCTTTATTCCTATCGGATAAGGCACCTTTTTCTCTACGGTTACAGGGTACGGCACCGGTTTCTCTACCACTTTTACCTTCTCTACTGGAACTTCTACCTTTTTCTCCACTTGTACTGGATAAGGCTTAGGAACCTCAACTTTGTATGGTACTTTGATGGGTTTTTCGACTGTTTTAATGTATTTGTGGTGATGGTGGTGATGATGATGTTTGATTTTGGTGACGACTCGAGGGTGTCGGTGGCTGCCATCGCTTTCTAGGTCGTACGTGTAGTGCGTCGGTGAATGTCCCCGCTTCCCACTGTAACCAGAATAAGTCGGTTTCAATTGTCGATTTCGATTGAGAAAAACCATTTTCTTTCTGGCCATGAAAGGAGTTTGAGAACTCGGTATCGGGACAAGCCCAAAAGATTGTAAATACATCATTTGCTTACTTTGTGATTCGGCGGGTAGGGCAGTAAATGAGTCCGATCGTTTAGTGATTGATGTCGGTGGTGCTTTCTTGAAAGTAGGATAATGTGAGGGCATTATTGGCACCCAGTCATTGGGTTCGAGTTTGGTGAAGTTAATCGGTGGTAATGGCGTTGTGGTTTTTACTTTTAGTTTCCTTGTGACCGGGCGGTACACCCGTGGCGTTGATGGCGTAACTGGTTTGATAGTCGTTGTTATAGTCGTTGTGTTTCTGTATGCAAACCTAGTTCGATGGGTTTTGCTCTCTGAGGTGTCACGGTCTGGCTGGTCAGTAGTGTTTGTTTTTGTAAAAGTCGTGTTGTCTTTTGTCAAGGTCGTGTTGTGTGATAAAGTCGAGTTTGCTTTGTGTTGTTCACGTTTGGGCCATATCCTTTTCGTCCGGAGAACTTTTTCAGTAGTTGTGGTTGTAGCCTCGGTGGTAGAAGTAGTCGTTGAAGACGTCGTATTACTAATTTTCGGAGGTTTGACAAAGTCCGTTCGGATACCATTGATCACTTGGGCAGGTAAACTGAACTTAGGACTCTTTACAACTATAGGTCCGCCAGTTGAGGCGGCATACACTAGTGGTCGGCTGGGCTTCAAATAATAAGCTCTATGATGTGGTGGTAGCGGAATCACTCTAGGAAACTTGTATATAGAATTTGCTGAATGTTGCAGCTTCATAGGTTGTTTAGAATACAGACGAGGCGGTAGTTTTTGTATCTGCCCGTGCCTAGGCCAGGGTACATCGGCATTGACATTTTGTATCACTAGTTTATCAGGGATGTTAGGCGGTTTACTTGGCGGTCTTTGTTCAGGTTTATAAGTAGACAAGTCGGGTGTCGTCAATGACTGGTTATTGGGTTTTGTTTGCGCTACGTACTTTGGGTTGTGTATTATTGTTACGGCTCTGTTCTTCGTCTCTATAGCAATTGGCTCGTCAATGAGGTCATCTTGTGCCGTCACGCCACTTCCTTGATAGACGACGATCACTAATGAAATGATCAGCAATGCCGTCTGAAACAAAATGTAACTTTTCAGTTAACATAACAAAAATAGAGCTACGATGTTAATTATTTAAGTAAGGGATTCTACGGAAACTTCGTTTATAACAAAGTTTAGTTACCTAAGTATATAATTACTTAGTTATTTTGAATTAGATTAGATGTTTTGAGACTGATCGAATTTAAACATTCAGAAGCTAAGTAAGGGGTAACTACTGATACATTTTTAATCGTTACATGTTTGAAGTTCAAACATAAGGTGTCAGTCATCCATTAATGTCTGTAATTTCAACTCGTGCCAACGATAAAAAATTGGTATAAACAAAAAAATATAATGTAGTAAGACATGCTTAGTGCAAGAACCTATCTCGATGTTTTATATATTTTTTGTTTAGTTTTTACTATCAGCTTGGCCGATGCGTGCGATAAGTAAACACGCGATCTATCTTTCCGTATAATTCCATTTTAGGCAAAAAAGAATCACGGCAGTTTAAGGCGTTAGTATCTACCTATTATAACAATAAGGCGTTGAGAAATTGCTCATAATGATTTACAAAAAGCTCACGTATCTACAGGGTAGCGATTAATGTTTACGCAATAATAAATTAATGGCATAGGCCCTCTTCCTAGTGAGAAACAGAAGATGTTTTGTAAAAGTCTAAAATTTTTATATCCAAATCACATCTAGGGTATTTGAGCTTTAGATAAATAAATATAGGCACAAGACGTAAAAATTAATAACTTCACGTTACAGTCATGTTCAATAAACAAAAAATAAAATTATTAATTATTAGTCAGAAGGTATAGAAAATATGAGTCTACTGTACTTTACCACACTCCAATATTAATATTAATCACTAATAGCACACTGTACGCTAATCACAAACTTATTTAATTCACTATGATTTCACTAGATTGTTTTCATCGAAAGAATTGCATTCGCACGTCACTGATTTCGCGCCAAAATAACTGTCACTCACACCATATTTGAAACGTTTTGTTGTTAGATTTCAGAAAACAATTATCGCATTTTATTTTCACTTCAAAACTGTTTATTTTTATGTTCTAGTCACGCATATTTCTAATTGCATCTAGATGTTTACCTACCGATAAGTGTTGCATATTGTGGGTGCCTGCGGCCGATGCAGACATAAACGTAATGATACGTCCGAGGAAGCGCCACTCACTTATATAGCATTCGCGTAATGGGTGGCTGGACAGGACGATTACTTTCTCTACCGATGCCAATATCATAGAATAGAAGGTCATAGAAGTCCCCAAAACTGAAATATTTTCTCATTTCTGTATAATTTTGGGCTTCTTATTATACGAGTAATCGTACACGACTAAAGTAAGCGACGAAGGTTAATAAAAAGATTTAAGTACCCAAGTTCCTACTCCGGTACTTACTAGCACTACTAGCTGTTGCCCGCGACTTCGTCCGCGTAGAATAATGACTTCTGGCAGAATTTAGGCTTTTGATTGAATTAGTCTTTAACAAGGGATATTCTACGGTAGTTAAAGTCGTCAGAATTGATTCAGTGCCTCGTATAGGGCTCCTCCCTTGTAGATGATAGCGTGACAACGTTCAGACAAATATTCTAAAATCTATATTTTTGGTTTCGATATCGATTGAAGATCGCGCCTCGAGTACCTACCTACCTATTCTTTAAAAAAAATTCAATGTATAGTTTTTTTTTTAAGTGTATACATTTAAGTGTTTAAGTGTATACATAAGAGTTGTGGCATATGCGTCCGAGTTCCTTGGTTCCTATATTAAATACGTACCTATGTCTAATTTTAAATTACGTTTACCTGCCATATCAGTTATCCAACTGTGGATATTTGCGATGAAATATCTGTTATGCATTTTCCTGCTTCCGTTTTTCCGCACGCACCGAATGTGGAGTGTGTAGACTATATGCAACCATGTAAATAAGTAAAGCACGCAATAAGTGGTCGTTGTAGCGATGTAGGTACTCGAAATTTCTACACAATACATGCTATAACAAGTCGTCCGCGGTTCTGAGATCTCCATTGGTACTAACATAACATAACATCACGCCTTTTTATCCCCGAAGAGGTAGGTAGGTAGAGCTGCATATTACGGCACTTAATGCCACTATACAATGTAACACCCACTTTTCACTATTTATGTTATGAGTCCCATGTCCTGGTGTCCTGGTAATGCGCCTATAGCCATATACCGGGCACAATTCCAGACTATGTGCTACTACTGAGATTTTTTTTTAAACTTAGGTACTACTGAGTGCATATTGGGCAGCTTTACTATTTTAATTGACGGTAAGTATTCCCTGCACTCGGTAGGTACAAGGTTGGATGTCAACCACCTTCGTCCCACTCCCTAGTGACTAGCGACCACGAGTTTGTTTCAGCAGTGGCAGCGTTCAGACCAGACTCAAGACTGCACATATGAGGGACTTTCCTGATTGATCTAACTTAAAGATAATAATTATGATTAGGTACATCACGTATCGCTTCCTGGTACTTGTAACAGGAAGCCATTGTTTAGTTTATATCCCTTTAATATTTAGATAAGCCTTCATGTACTCTTTAGAATTAATAAAGATCAGTCTTGCTCTGCTCTTCAAGCGGAACACACCTAAAATATTGTTTTTAAAAACCCTTTTGCCGTCGCCCACAACCTAACTCACGAGATTTTTTTTTTTTGAAAAGACAACACTTAGGTTCTGTAACATTGAATTTAATAATCTTTTGCACCTTAGATTTTTAAATTGCGATGTAATTTTAACGCTATACCCTCGACCTAACGGGTCGCGGAGAACCTAACGGGTTACCGGGGCTCCGGCTCGACGTGCAGGAGAAGGAACGGGGTGGTTTTTAGTCAGTAAGAGTCTGACAAGGCGGGAGCAGCCATTCGATTATTTTTTCCCCTTATAAAAAAACCCTTAAAGAGAACAGAGTTAGTAAAAGCAAACACAGTTATCTATAAACACATCACTGTATTTCTTTCAATATCTTAAGCCTATATTTATCATCGGGAAACCTCATCTTGACAATATGGCGTACTTCTTCACAGCTATAGCCCTGGAACTGATCCTTGTCTTTATTCCATAAATCTGATACTTCCAACAATTGCGCCTTCAACAACTGCGGGAGTTTTGTGAACTTCGACCAAATATTTATTTTTGAGTCGAATTCAATTGGCTCCTGTAACAAAGTGATTTAAATTAAATAGTAGGAACTTATGTCCCTAAATACATACTGTTGTCATAAAATTATTATTAAAATAGCAACGATTTTCTTAAACATAAATTGATACTATTGAGATTGCTTCATTGATCTAGTGACCGAGTGATCATACATGTGACAGCTGTACAGTAATCTGCGGTTCGATTTCCAGATCGACTAAATATTCTTGAGATCTTTACATTATGTCCTAAGTACATGGGATTAGTACTAAGATAATATAACTTTTGAAAACAAAACTTTTGTTTTAGTGCTACATCATACATTTAGCGAGTGAAACTCTGCTAACTTTACCAGGAAAGTGTAGGTAAGACATACAGAATTAAGAAGAAGAAGAGCTTACCTCAAATAATGTAAAAATTTCAGCTGCCGTACTTTCAACCCTCATAGCTAACATGTAAACCAGTTCTTCAGTGACCGGTTTATTGTCTTCTAACACTCGGTCTAGAATAGACTGACACAATGCTTGCACAAGAGTGCAGACGGACATCTCATACATACGAGCGGGTAGGACGTTAAGCCAACAGGACTTCAGATCTTTCATTAACGCTAAAGCATTGTTTATTGCGCAATCAAATTGCTCGTAGGACTCGTGGGTCCATTCGGCACCTGTAATTAACAGTAACACATTCATAAAACTAAACTAAATCCAGTGTAAACTTTGATAACGACAAACCTTGGTAATCTAGTCATGAATCCCTTTAAGATGCTGAACCTTATGCTTTTTTAATAAAGTTTAAAATGTTTCTAACTCAGTGACCGATTCCAGTAGTGTGTCACTACACGCAGAACAACTTTAACAAAAGTGGTTACATAATACACATCACATCAACAGCCTATATTGCCCACTGCCACGCAATGCTTCTTCTCACACGGAGAAGGTTTGAGCATTAATCACCATACTTGCTCAATCCGTTTACGATTTCCAACTTATAATTAGACATTATAAGCCCGGGTTTCCTCACGGTGATTTCCTTCACCATTTGTCAATGGTATCTGAATGATCTTAAAAAGTACACATAGTCACATTGGTACCAGCACCCTTATGCATGCGAAGCGGGCGTCTTAAACCTCCAGACCACCACACCACTGTTGCATAATGATGAAGTTTAATTGAATTATGAACCAGTTTAATTAACCAAGAAATTACCATTGCCATCAATACTATGCATGATGTTGCTTTTCTGGTTTTGAAGGTACAAGGATATCTTCTCAAGACCCAACACTCTTAGATCTTGGATGCACTCCAGCAGCACCACATTGAGCTGGTCAGCCATAGTCTTAGGAAGACTGTTACACCAAGGTGGTCCAAGAAGACCATGCGCCAGGTAGAAACAATTGTTGAAGAACAGGGCTGAAAAGAAATAATTTTGGTTAAAAAAATATGAAATTATATTGCTTTGGAGTTTTAAATAAATAATTCTTATGTCCTTTCTTCTTTTCATGATTGTATCTACTATAAATCCTGATTTATAGGAGTTGCAGCGATTTTGGAAGATGTTGCAGTAAATAATTCTTAGTAAAATAATTTAAAAAATGTAAGATGGCATTGTTCTTACCAATATCAGCGGGACAGCATTCCAAATTAATCTTAAACTTCTTAGGAACAAAGCTCTGGTACATAATGGCAATATCCTTTATGTAACCGACCAGTTGCTTACTGTATTTCTCTGGTAACTTTGCACTCTCTTCCAAATGTTCTAAGATTAATGTCATTACCGCTTTAACATTATGTGAGATCACACATTTAGGCAGAAATAGCGGCTTTGTTATGTTCCATACAATGCCATTATCAGTAACATCTAGTAGGGATTCATTCTCGTTGTTATTGGTTTCCGAGCCCACAACAATCAAACCACTAGAAAGGCTCTCTTTTAGCAGCGTGCGGACATCAGCAAGTAATTTATCACATTTCTTATTATACAGCACACATTCAGTGTCATCTATGTATTTGGCGAGAGGTGATTCATCCTCTTTTACAAATTTTAAATCGATCAAAAACTTGTTGAATGCATCCAACTCAATTACTATGTTTTTATAGTTTTGGTAGCTACTGTCACAAGATGGTAAGTTCATTCTAATGCAGTCTTCAAATATTTTATTGAAAAATTTCTGACGGATAGTGTCTGCAAATATTTCTATGAAGCTGTAATCACTTTCAAACTGTGAGCCTAAAGTTGAGTGCAGGAATTCAAAAATTGCAGTCAAATTATTAAAGATTGTTTGGTAATTCGGTTTGTTTGGGTCATCCAGATTTATCTTGATGTTGAAAACAATAGCCCCGGTGTGGTCTTCAGTGAATATATCACAATTATGTCTAATAACATTGTGAAGTAAATTGTTAATAAAGAAATGCGAAAACAAGCCAAGTTCTGCATACATTCTTTTCGTTACATACAAAGTATTCAAAATCTTTTTCAACAAAAATGGGTCACTCTGTTGTACAGACAAAGAGTATGTTAAGAATTTAAGACCTTTTTTCTCAGACCATGTAAAAATATCTTCCCATTCAATACTTAGCTGGGCTGTGTACAAGGCGAGTTGATTTTCAGCCTGTGCATTGATAGCTGTTAAAGCCTTTGCCATATTACCCTCGAATTTTAGTTTTTTCAATTCTATTTTCAAATTTTTCACTGCCATCATAGCATCACTATAGTTGTACCTGCCAAATTCATGATTTGCCTTTTCTAAAATGCGTTTCCCATCAACAATAACGCACAAATCTTTGAAGATATTCATTGATTTGTTTAACTTTACACAATGATTTTTAAATTCTTCATCACTTACTTCATATCTTTCGTGGAGTGATTTTATGTCTTCGTTGCATTTTGAATGATCAGAAACTATTTTGGTTTTCCGATTATAATAATTTAATTGCTCTAAACTCTTTGTTATGGTAAAATTTACGAATGTATCTATAATATTTTGTTGTAATGCCCACGACAGTAATTGCACTCGTTCGGTTAGATCTTTTATTTGTGGTAAGACTTGGTCTCGATTTTTCTTCAATTCCTGTATACTAACTTTATCGGCTTCTTGCAGAACAGCACTTAACAAACTCATTTTAATTAAACTTTAATTACCTCTCCGTCCAAACTCAACTTTCGTTTCGGTTTGAATTCAAAATTCAAATCATTTGTTTTTATTAATGACATTTAATGTCAAGTTGGCATTTGTTCAGAGAATTTTGACGTAAAGTACGTTTAGTTCCGTCTATTGTTAACGGTAATGTCTCCGGTAACATTAAAAATAATTTATAGTTTTTCACAGTTTAATAAACACGCAGCTAATAAAAAATCTCAGTTATTTTATTATTGCTACCATACTATAGTTTTAGTTAGTACATGTTTCAGCTATTTATTATTATTAAAGACAGAGAATTATTATACTGTATAGGTATCAAATCAACCGTTAGTTGCAATTCAATAAATTTCGTGTGAAGACAAATAACGCCTAGCTACAGATGTATACCTAATATGGAAATAAAATGCAAATTTTCTGTTTGAAGGACCAAATATCTCCCTAATAACGGGTTGCCATCGTGCGTTTAATCAATCGTAAGCCTAAAGGCACCACTGTGTTCACTACAAGCACAGGCTGCATAATAATTATTAGATAAAGAGTTTAATAATAAATTCCATCATGAACGATTGTGAAATTGAAAGTCTGAAAACTGAATTGGAACATGAAAAGAACTGCCGGTTAGTAAATTCAAGTTAAATTGTAGTTGTACCTAGTTTGAAAGTAGTTAGCACCATGATGATATGCTGTTGTTGTACCTAAGTGACTTTCAGTTTTTATTAGTTTTGTCTTGATATTATATTTTAGTATCCCAGTGATGTAACTATTTACGAATTACACGTGTCTATAAGGTTATATAAGATAAGTATAGACGGGTAAGTACCTGCTTGATTAAATTTATTCATGTTAACCTACTTAATGTTGACCTTATTCTATTAGGTCAAGGTTACGCATATCTAGATTACTTCCTTATTTTCCATTTGCATGCTGCATTATACAATTCAAAAAATATTTTTTGTAATGATAACAACTATAGGACACTATAGTGAATTTTGCTATGACAAAAATATTAGGTGCACGGAGCAATATTGTTTGACTCTCATGTGTTGAGTCCTCAGTTATGTACTGGTTACATACATATATATGTACCTAACAACAACAACACAAAACAACATCACGCCTTTTGTTTCCGAAGGGGTAGGCAGACCGTGCACATTACAATGTAACACCCACTTTTCACTATTTATGTTATGAGTCCCATGTAATAGGGGGTGAGCCTATTGCCATATACCGGGCACAATTCCAGACTCCGTGCTACTACTGAGATTTTTTTAAAACCCAGTAATACTTTGCCCGACCCGGGAATCGAACCCGAGACCCCTTGCCCGGTAGTCGCACTTGCGACCACTCGGCCAACGAGGCAGTCCTAACAATCTAACAGTGTACCTAACAATTTAATAATAATAATAAGTACTTCTCATTATCTCCCTGATAGAGAATCAGCAGCTTGGCAAAATGGAGAACTTGAGAAGCAGATAGTACTGGTTCAAGACGAATTGCGCAAAACCGATTATACATGGGACCATGATGACGACTTGATGAAAGAGAGTGCAAGACACAAGGTTTATCAAGACACCATAGAAACATTGAGGGAACAACTTCCAGCATTGAAAGACAAGATCAAAAAGGCTAAGATTTGTGGAGCCGGTAAGATTTTTCATTATACCTTAACTGCTACTGCAGTAGGTATCTATCTAGGTACTTTATATTGTTTTCGTATGCTTAAGGTAAGCGTTTCCCTATTTACGCAAGTTTATAAAGGCCACAGATTCACTCCAAAGAAATAACTAACCATTTAATTTGACAAAGAACATTAAACATAGATTACTGTTTTTTTTTCCAGACTGCAAATTGAAACATGACGACCTCAACATAAACCTGGATCTTCTTACACCTGTAAGTGACATTGTCCTGAAAGGCACCTTTATGTTATAGTTTTTAATGTTCCAAAATCGTTTACGACGTAACCGACTCGACTAAAATACTAGCATAGTCCGAACAGGGTGCTTACTCTTGAAACCAATCTCTATGTCAATGCAATTTCAATCCAATAAAATCTCAATAATTACTCAATGTCAAAACTATACAATCTCTATCGTAGCTGTTAAAATACAAACTGAATACTATTTAGTTCATTCAAAATCCAAGCAATACGAATGTAATGGGCGCTAGTGTTACATCTCAAGAGTACTTACGAAATTTTACAATACCAATGTCAATCAATCGGAATTGGATTCGAGAGTAAGCCCCCTGGACATTACGTCGAGCCGGCTTTGTGTATTTGCCCTTATTGCCCATAATTTAACGAAATCAGCTAGGCTATTTTATAACTTTCAATTCGAAAGATTCAAATGAACTCCATCGCGGTCCGCTATGTCGTTGGTTGTGAGAATAATCGCGACCAATGACGGGCGAGAATAAGATCGATCTCACTTTGAAACTTCGAATTGACAGTTACAGAATCGCCTAGCACCTGGGTTATAATTACTTACAATACTTCCAGGCTGAACTGTTGCGGACAGTGAAAAGGTTTGAGCGTCTGAAAACAGACTTAATAAGTACGCTGCGAAGCAAAGAGTGGCGCTTGGACTCGGAGTCTAAGGTAGGTATGAAATAGAATTTAATCGAAAGTCCCGTTTTTTAATATACAGGTACAATACCCAGACACTGTAGTATGTTGGTCACATCGATTATGTATGTAACTTCGTTTATGGGTTGATTTCAGTAATGTACCTAATCTTTATTTTTCTAGTTGTTCGTGAGAGTGAACGACCAAAGAACTTATTTGCAGAACGAGTTGATGATATGTCAGAACAATATCATGCGACTGCAAAAGAATAGTACCTACTGGCAGTAAGTATCATGGGAAATTGTAAGTATCTTTTATTTTGAGCGGGTAAATCATCCAATAGGGTTGACGACAGGGTATGAAAATTAAAAATCTAATTAGTCCGTCAGTAAGGTAATGAAAAAATATTAGCCACGTATTTTTTATTTTGTTGTATAAGAAAATAATACTTACCTCTAAATTAAACGAATCAAAGTTTAGGAGTGGGAGCTACTACGTCACTTTTGAGTATAAAACGTACCTACACAAAAGTGACGTCACGCGATATTTCAAATCAATATATCGTCGAACGAAAGTATCTGTGTCCGTAAAAAAACCGTGTTTAATGATTTTAAATAATCTACCATACGGACATTAAAATAAGAATTATTCATCTACACTATTATTTCTCTTGCCTTGGATGATCAGGAGGGAGTGTCAGACTCTTACTGACTAAAGACCGGTGTGTTACTTCGAACCCACTTGGTCTTCAGAGTACCTAAGTCACGAAATTATGTATATGTGGGTTGTGCTACACTGTTGGTAATGGGCAGAGGGATAAAATAGCTGTTCATCCCTTATGACTATGAGACATCATAGGTTTCTGTATTTAGTGTTGATTCTCAGCATATAATGCCACGGAGCCTTCATTTATTCCTGGTGTAATCTATATAGGCTATAGCCAGGCAATGAAAACAGACACCCTAGGTATTGCATGACAATATCGAAATAAAATAGCTGTATATTTAAGGCTTTGACTGCCAATAAATAACTGTTAAATGCAAATTGGTCACCGGTGACCCCCATGGTGTTTAATGTGTTAAACCTAAGGCACCTATTAAATTGGAGTCGGAGTCTTCTCCGAGATATCCCGACTCAGAAACCACCGTAGCTCCATTAAGCTACCATGTTACTACCCGTAAATCACGTTAAAATTTTTCAGTTTCATTTTATCCACGCAAATATATTTTCTTCATTTTAAGTTCAACCATTTCCATCAAAAACTTACTTATTTAACGTTATTTTTTTGATGCAGAAATGGGACTGCAGATCAGTGTTGATTCGTTCTTATATTTATTGGCCTTACGTTCCAGAAACGTCGCCCGAAAGAACGACGAGCGAGTACTTGACGCAAAGCGAGGACCTATAAAGAAAATTATAGGGAACGAGAGGCTCGCACCCATCGCTACGTAGACATCTAGACAAAATATATTTTTATCAACTTACACACTGTAGAGATGTATTTTCTTACACAGAAGAACATTTTAATTATATTTACTCTAAAAATAAGGAATATCTATTTACCATTAGTGTTGTAAGTCGTTGTTTAGGAATAGGTATAGTTATATTAGATAGATAAACTCAAGACCTACCTATAGTATAATCACATTGAAATTATAGTTGTTTTTCTAAAGCGTCTATTTTCTATAAATACTTAAAGTTAATTCAATTTCCACCTAAATAGACTATGCAGATGTAGCACTTCTCTTATTAATTAATGGCTTTAATTCTAGGTTGAAATACGTAGATATAGATAAAACGAAGGATGTGACTTAGATAGTATAATATACGTAGAAATCGTATGATCTATTTATTAGAGTACATAATTAAATAACTGAAAGTCGAACGCGATATAAAAAATGAGTAGAAATCAAATAATTTCCAAATAAACTAAAATGTTATACATATACGTATGTACCTACTTACTCAATTCACACAGTAATAAGCACGTAGAAATAATAAAACATTAATTACAATAATATTTCGATCTTTTATTTCCAAAATAATTTACAACAATACTCACCTAACAATAATTTCCCCGTAGTATTAAATAAATACATAACTTTAATTTTCCTAACAGACTACCGAGAACGAGACCGCGTTTGGCGCTCTGATTGGTTAGTTCATTGGAGCCGGCCAATGAGAGCGCCGAAAGCGGTCTCATTTTGATTACTTGAAACGCGAAACATACTTGTACTAAAGCCTCAGGCGTTTAAAATAGAAAGAAGTATTTGACTTTGAGTCTATTTAACACAAGAGAAATGTTAATTTAAAATTTTGATAATATTTATACATTTATTGTATAATATTAATTACTTACAGATCAATCAATCATATAATTATATTTAATTTCATCTTTAATTATTTTCTAGGAAAACCATACAGAAGTTGTCAAGATTTAGTATTTCTTATAGTTTTAGTGTATTTCGTTGGAAAGTCTATTGTGGTGCTCAGGTATTCAGACTCTAACTCGCTGAGCGGTCTTCGGTACAACGCGGCTGAAACAAAAGTAAAAACCTGAAGTAAAAAAAGTTGAATTAAATTAACATAAATTGGTACTTAATTGAATAATTATGTTTTTCGGCTTTCTCACGTAGGTAATTATTTGACGAGGAACTCGACTAGTTTCAGCCCACCGACAAGATGGGAGAGCCGACCTGACCCAGCATAAGGCACCCGTTCATGAGTATGACGTGTGTCAGCAATTGGTCCGGTCAAACTTTTTATTGGGAACGGAACAACCCAACACACTTAGGACATTTATGTGTAAACTAGCTACTTGCGCGCGGTTTCACACGCTCTGCCCAGCTCCTATTAGTCGTAGCGTGATGTTTTATAGCCTATAGTCATCCTCGATAAATGCGCTACACAACACAAAAAGAATTATTCAAATCAGACTTGTAGTTACGGAGATTAGCGCGTTCAAACAAACAAACAAACAAAAAAACAAACTCTTCCGCTTTATATAATAAAGTATAAGATAACATGACGCCTCAACCCTTGCTACGTTGGCCGATTCCAATAAAGCTTACAATAGTCCAAAAGTCAATGGGTTCTTTTCTATATCTACATATCTCTGCATACACATTTCCTCATGTTGCATCCGTTGTATCACAAGCAACATTCCCCGCCCAAAATATTACTTTCTGTGTTGGATAGTCTATTAATGTATTTATCGAGGAAGGAAGGCTATAAAGCATCACGCTACGATGAGAAGTAGCTACTTATTAACATAAGGTAAAATAAAATATTATTACGTGTAACACAATGATGTTTGTCTATATGCAGGCGCAAATGTCGTGGACACGCGCACGCGTACCCGCCCGCTGTATTCACGCATGAATGCGAACACCCGTCCGTCTCCAACTCGCACTCGTTTATGTCTGAGAACAAAAAAAAATTTACTGAGTAAAAATGATAATGTTTTATGTCATGAAAGTGAAACTCGATTAAACCTGTGAAGTGTCGGACCACAGGTTTACGAGAGACTCAATGTGTTTTATATTGTGTCTCATATATCGACAGACAGGAGCTTAAATTAATTGCAACCACGATTTTCGGGATCACGGCTACTTATAAATAGCATCTTTTTAAGCTACCGATATGGCGCTAGTGAAGTAGTGATGTTGTCCATTCACTAAAACTGCCAAAAGTAAATTGTTTTATGTTTTATGGTGTGATACATGCTAATTCTTAATTAGACAAACAGATGTGAGGTTAAGATTAGATTGGGGTTTGTACCTTAACCATACCACAGCCATCTGATAAGCAAAAATATTATCAGTATATCAGTAGATCAGTAACACACTCAGTTTTGTTACGTAACTAGGTTAAATTCTATGTAGATAAGGAAAATTGTCCCCCCCCTCCCTGTCATCAATCCCATATTCCACAAATCCCGGACTGCGCTGATTGCTTACCGTCAGGTGATCAGAGGGTTATTTAGTACGAGGCTGAATACCTGGCTTTAATTAATCAACCAATCAGAGCGCTGAAGGCGGTCTCGTTTCGAACTTGTCAAGCGTAAAATTAAGTGATACTAAGCCTTTGCCGCCGTATTATACCACAAAGAAGAGAATGAGAATGAGAGCAGAGAGAGAATGAGAGAAGAAAGAGAATGAGAATGAGAGAAGAGAGAGAATGAGAGAAAGAATTATAATTTCTAACAATCTATAAAAAAACAAGCTTTTATGCATTTTAACATTTATGACCATGCAAACTTACTAAATGCAAACTAAATTTCACCTCAATCGGATGAAGATATCTGCTTCATTTAGTTGCAAGATGCTTCACACACATATCTATATAATTATAGGTACCTACTACATACATTGTAAGTTTAATAAAAGGTTGTAAAGAGTAGTTGTTACCTAGACACCTCTGTCCGGCCGCCAGGGCGAGGTACCCCGGAGTACAGGAGCACCGGTACGCCCCGTCCGTGTTGACACACACCTGCGTCGAGTGACACTGGTTGGTCTCGAACAGACACTCGTCTATATCTGCACACACAAATTAAACTTGCTTGACGATTATCAATATCAACCTTATTCTTATAATACAGGGAGTTTACGTTTAAAATCGAAAAAGCAATAGATAGATTATTTCCAGCTTACTTTATAATACTGAAGATATTACTTACATTCGAAATGGGTATTAGGTACTTTTGTAAATAATAATTTATAAGCTCGTGAAAAACTCCTAAAGCCATAATAACATAAAAAGTTGTACAACGTAGTAAAATGTGTTAAAAGAAATCAGATATATCGTATGGCATACCTTCACAAGTATTATATGAAGCATTGTGCCTATATCCAGGATCACATGGGCCTCTATCACTGTGATCCAAATTCTCCGTCACGCTAACATCGAAGAAAACTGTAGTAGCTTGTGACCCTGGAAAAGCAATCTTATGTCAGTGGCATAACGGTCATATTATTTTGTGATTTAGAAAAAATATAGCATAAATAAAAGTTGACTACGCGGCTACGCCGTAGCCAATTACTACGACGTAGTACGACGTTTTAATCTGTGGAAAGTTTAACAATAAAATTATAAAAATTTAATTAATTGTAATTGGGCCTCCAATCCCTGTAACTCCTGTAGCCTCCTGTGAGTGTTCGGTGTTCTGCGAGGCCGTGGATCACTCCGTTCGAGACGGTCCATTCGTGCCGAAGCATGACTCTCCCACACTAATCTACCTCCTACTAATATACTACGACTACGATAGTAAAATTACCTGATGTGCTATAAAATTCTTCGACGTCCGGAGAGGAATATGAGTTGATAGTTTCTGGCTGTATTTCATAGGTAAGATCTGGAAGGTAAGAATCCTGAAACAATTTTAGCTATTTAAATATTTTTCTATTTGATCAAAAGACCTTATATATCAACTATCAACTTCATACGTGATAGTCCTCATTGACATTGTTAAAAAGGCTTACTAAGGTCACTTAGTCGTCAAGAAACAGGTAACAACATCTCTAAATATTGCTCCAAGTTACCATCCCAAACGTGGGGATTGTGGCACAGATCGTTTTTGCGAGTTTAACTCGAGAACGGCTAGACATAATTTGATGATTTTTGCTATGTTGTACTTACAGGGTCGCTGTTGTCCTCATTGTTGGTATTGTTATCAATAACTTCGTTAACATTATTTTGGTTTAATGCAGGACTACACAGCGGTAAGTCCGGACACTTCTTTATCTGAAAGTCAACGTATTTGTTAGTAGGTACTTATTGAACGAACTAATTGACCGAGTAACAAACAAAAAAATGTGTAATATAGTATTCCGTACATTCCATAGATATAATTATATAGATGAAAATATGAAAATTGAATTACAAACACCCGGAGCAGGATCCAGTGTACGGCAACACGATCATCTCCTATTACACGGAACTTATCATAAAAAATTAATAAACTCGTACTTTAACTAATAAACTTAAAACCTATATATGGATATTGTTACCTGTACATTATCTCCCTCGCACTTGGCTTTAGTCTTGCACCGTCGGGTCCGCGCCTGAGTCCCTACTCCACATGTTGCTGAACACTCCGACCACTGGGACCACATCGACCAGCGGGGCTTTGATTCGTCCACCTACAATATTTTGTACTTTTAACTATAACATCACATCAACAGCCTGTGAATGGCCACTACTGAACCAAAGGCCTCTTCTCACACGGAGAAGGATTAAACAATAATCACCACGATTGCTTAATGCGGGTTGGCGAATTTATAAGCCCAGGGTTCCTCACGATGTTTTCCTTCACCGTTTGTCAACGGTGTCTAAACAACTATAACATATTCATATCAAAATCTTATATTATGAGAGTCATAAATTCTGTTCCCTAGTTTTTTTGTTGGGCTTATCTCAGATTAACAAAAAGTATATAAACTATATACTCACATCGCAAGGAGGCATATGACATCTCCTTTTATCGACTGTCGGGCCTCTACACGCTGTTTGATCAAGGATTATTTTCTCTGATTTTGAAGAACTGTCTGAAATGTGAATGTAATCAAAAACTGAACTAGCACACGTGTGGCATTATTTTTAACATTGGCCCTAAAATGGAACCTTGTGGAACACCATATACAAAATTCCTTGCGTGAATGATAAAAAGACATTGAGAAAAGTAATTGGAACTAATTATTATTTCAAACAAATAGAACAGTACAATTTTATAAATAGTAGATGAACTTTACTTGACAATTTTTTATTATTTTTGTTTTTACGTCGTGGTTATGTATATCAAACGGCTTTGCTGAGTTTCAGAATATTATCAAAAAGTTTTTTTGTCTTACCAATGGTCCTATTTTTATCGTCGACAAAGTGACAAGACCTCGATCTCAGTTGGTATCCTAATCCACAGGTTACATTACATAAAGTCCATTGTGTCCACGAACTCCATTTTGCTGGTACTAGAACATACATTAAATGCAACCTATGAACTTAATTATCGTGAGATAATTAGACAGGGTCTATGTCTGACTATGAGTTCTGAGAACTCGCCAAACACCCTTTTATACGTCAAATTTACTACTTCGATTTTGATGAGTTTTCGTTGAGAATATTCACTACTTTTTAATGACATAACGCGGCAAATGAGGAGAAGGATTGCCTGATGGTAAATAATAATCAGCACCGCCCATGGTCACTTGCAACCCTAGAGGAGTTACTTGAGCCATGCCTGCTTTTTAAGGATTGGGGATCGTGCCTTAGGGATAAATGATATTGGGCTTCAAAACTTTGTGTTAGCTTACCTTGTATTGCAACATTGTACCTTCGATGAGCAGTACCAGCTTCATTTTCCACTACACAAATGTATTGTCCCGCGTCTCTGACATTAGCGCTCCATATAGCCAACAAACTGTTGCCCAAAACACGTTGTATGTTTGCTAAACTCTCACTTAGTATTTGCGTGTCCTAAAAATAAGACCGTAAACATCAAGCATAAGATAAAATTTCCAGTAAGACGCTGATTTATGGGACGAATATTTTTCTTTTTAATTAAGACTGAAAATTTTTCTTAAGAATAACGATCGCGTTTAATTGGTAAACTGATTTTGTCTAAGTCTAGAATCTATAAACAACATTAAAATATTCAAACAAATCATCATCATCAAAAAATTCTTATGACATATGTAAGTAAGGTACCTTCAACCATGTAATCTTCGGCATTGGATGTCCGTCAGCTTCACATTTTAATACAATGCTTCTTTTCAAAGCGACTACGTGTCCTTCCACAAGATTATTGCCAGCATTACCAGCAATGGACGGTGGTTTGTGTATCGTGACGTCATATATAACCTCTGTAGTACCGACTTTGTTTGTCATAATACAGGAGTACTTACCACCGTCCGTCACTTCTGTTTTGTTTATGACCTATAAAACAATATTTGAAGACATTATCTTTCGGTGAAAATCCACTGTTAGAGACATGAGTTTGCCTTAATGTCAACGATCGGCAAGCGGTTGGGAGATCGCACTTTAAAAGTATTAGCGTTTAGCGTGTAGGTAATTGAATCTATAAGGCACTCATGGGAAGAACCGGAGTCGCGGAGAACCTAACGGGTAACCGGGGCTCCGGCTCGACGTGCAGGAGAAGGAACGGGGTGGTTTTTAGTCAGTAAGAGTCTGACACTCCCTCCCGTCTCACTCAGGTGGGAGCAGACATTCGATGATTTCCCCCGTTGAAAAAAAAGCCATGAGAAGAACAGGGGCAAATGAATTTCACTGTGCTGTCACTACATGGCTAAGATTAAGAACATTTTTATTAGTATTATGAACGTGAATAAGTCTTATTTTCCTCACTCGCCCCAAATAAAGGGTCAAAAGGCAAACAGGTATAATGTAATACGAATGTAAGTACATTTACTTGCTTACAAAAAACAAACCTTATTTTAAAGAACCTAAATATCAACGTTCCTTTTTTAAAAACTAATTTTAGTGTCAGATTTAACTTACCATAGTAAAATTATCATCAGTAAGGTGTACTCGATCATTCCCACTTATTTCTGAATAGGGGTGCTTCACCCACATGACGCTGGGCAAAGGGCTGCCCACTGCTGGACAAGTTAACACCAGTGGCTTTCCAAAGCCAATCGTCATCTTTTTGGTAGATTCTTTCGGTGACGGCGGAGGGACTGAAATACAAAGAGACTTTTCAAAAAAGTGAAAAATAAACCGCGTATTTTGTCAACCTAAAATTACTCAATTTACAAAAAAAAAAAAAAACAAATGTGATATTTTGTTGGAGAACCAAAGACGACTAAGGTAGACTAGAGTTCTAGAGAATGATAGTCGCAAAATGGTTGAATTTGAACAGATGAAGATTGTGTTCAATGGTAGAATATTTTGATGATGTTCAGTGAACGGGAATAATGATAAAAAAGTGTTTTCTTATGGCCGAAATTAATAATAGAAGATTTTTTTTTTATAGCATAAGCCTGTAAACGAGCAGACGGATCACCTGATGGTAAGCAATCGGCGCCGCCCATGGACACCAAGTGCGTTACCGGCCTTTTGGGAATTAAGAATTTGAAGATTGTGGAGGATACGGGAATTCAGGAGACTATGAAGACTAGGCAAGGGGTTATTGGGCCTCCGGTAACCTCACTCACACGACGAAACACAACGCAAGCGTTGTTTCACGTCTGTTATCTATGAGACCGTGGTATCAATCCGGTCGGGCCGGCCCATTAGTGTCGAAGCATGGCTCTCCCACACTTAGATCTAGAAGATCTTTGGATTAAGATCTAAGTAAGAAGTCCTTGCCATTAAAACAAAAAAGATAACAAATTATTTGAAAAATAATGTACCAGCACTTACCCAAAACATCGACCAAATAAACCACGCTTGTATTTCCGACCTTATTTCTAGCGACACAAGTGTAATTTCCCGATTGTTCCTGTACCGCTTTCTTTGCTACAATCACTTCTCCGAAGTCCGTAGAAACCATGGCATCATCAAAAAACTTTAATGGTAAATCGTCTTTGAACCAGTAGATTTCTGGCTGTGGGTTTCCATAAGGATGGCAGTGGAGGTAGAACGATTGGCCCGATATAACTTCTAGGTGAACTTCATTCGATGTTACGTTTGCATTTTGGAATAATTCTTGGAATATTTTTGGTGGCTCTATAAAAAAAAAATTACGTAAATATATGAATAAGCGACAAAAAGCAATGTTAAAAGGAATCACAAATGAATACTCTATATCTCCAAATCTGACGATAGACAGTTGCGTTAGTCAAATCGACGAAAAAAGTTTGTACACGAGGTTATAGAATCAATCAATTCCCTGAATCTGGAAAACCCGGTGACTATAAAGCTAAGGATAAATGTCCTGCGACACGTGTCACCAGCTTTTTTAAGGGGGGAAAATAATCGAATTACTGCTTCCGCCAGGGAGAGGCGGAAGGAAGTGTCAGACTCTTACTGACTAAAAACCACCCCGTTCCTTCTCCTGTCGCCAGCTAATGGGTGAAGGAGAGTGAAGTTGCACGAGTTTGGTCGAAATGTCTGGCAACATCAACGTCGCTGTGGACATAAGGCGCATGTTGTCGCCTTATAATATATCGGGCGAAATCAGTAGGCTTCGCTTGACATGTCGCCGATAAATATCGTGTGACATATGTCTCCTAGAATAGAATTTTTGACTTGAACAAAAAACAGAACTTAACAATACCTATAAGTAAGAAAGCAAATAATAAATATATAAAATTACTAGCGGACCCGACAGACGTTGTCCTGTAAATTCACTTGAATATATAAACAAAAATTCATTTAAATTAGTTCAGCCATTTAGGATAAATAACCATACCACTAACTGCAGCGCCATCTGTCGGGCTGATTTGCGAATCTAAACCACCCAGGGCGCCACTCAAACGCGTACAGAAAAATTCATTTAAATCGGTCAAACCGTTTAGGAGGAGTTCAATGACATACACACGTACAGCAGAATTATATATATAAAGATAGATATATATATATAAAGATAGACTATCAGTCTATTACTCACCAAGTACATCAATTTTGATCTTCTTCTCGTGAGTACCTCCTTCGTTACTGGCCACGCAAGTATAGAGACCATTTTGAGCCAATTGCACGTCATTAAGTATCAAATCTGCATAGTCGATGTCGTATGAATTCTCACTGACTACGCGCCCTTGATGTATCCATTGTATATCTGGGATCGGATTCCCTGCAGCTTTGCAGGTTACACGTAAACGTGATCCTTGCTAGAAAACCGGTACTTTTATTACGTGGACATGATTCCTGTCTTCAAATAAGGCTTAGTGTCCACGATGCGTCATTTGACGAATACATGCAACCTACAAATGACGATAGGCGGATTTATATGAGTGAGGAGTCAGTGACGCAACATTGCTGCTTCGTGGACAGTTTACATTTTGTCTAAGTAAGATGGCTGACGCCTGTTGTCAATTGTAGGTTACATGCATTTGGACAGTAGGCCTTTTTTTAAGGGGAGAAAATCATCTAATGACTGCTCCCGCCTGGGTGAGGCGGGAGGGAGTGTCAGACTCTTACTGACTAAAAACCACCCCGTTCCTTCGCCTGCGCTTCGAGCCGGACCCCGATAACCCGTTAGGTTCTCCGCGACTTGGACAGTAGGCTTAAGTTGACATCTATGAACTTGCTAGTGCTACTATTATTTACCTAACTAGTGTCCACACTGTTTTAATACTATATTTAAAACAAGCTTCTGACCGCGGCTTCGCCCGCGTTGTCGTGGAATAAAAAGTAGCCTATATGTTATTTCAGACCATAATCTATACATATTTCAAATTATATCTCGACCCCTTCAGCCGTTTTGACGTGTTTAAGTAACAAAAGTACACACATACACAAAACGACACTAATATAATACTACTAATATCTTACTTCTAATATTAGTAGTGTCCGACCGAAGCTTCGGCTTCGGCTTCGGCTTCGGCCACCTTCGGCCAAAAAGTCCACGTTCGGCAAAACATTCGGCTTCGGCCCAAAGCCCGGCCGAAGCCGAAGGTTTCGCCGAAGGTCCGAGCGACTGCCGAGATTAAACGAACGATTGAACTAATTGTAATTTGTGAAATTATTCATAATAAAGAAATAATTACTTTTACCAGTAGGTAAATCACAAACTTTTATTAATCTCTAAACCAACCATCTCTTTGATATATCATAAACTTCTTTATAAGACAGTCAATATAAATCTTCAATATTGAGGTTTTGAAATAATTTTAATATTAATTGTAGCTTTTAGACAATATTGAACAAAATAATTGACTGAGTGCTGAGAAAATATAAACCTTCGGCTTCGGCTTCGGCTTCGGTCGAAGGTCGTGGCGATAGCCGATTAATCGGCTTCGGCTTCGGCCAAAAATACACCTTCGGTCGGACACTAAATATTAGTAAGGTACATAACAATGTAGGTACTTGTGACTTTTCTGGTGTGATGGGTGTTTATGTGCGCGCTATATGTACTAAAGTAAGTACCACCAATAACATAACTTCACGCCTTTTATCCCCGAAGGGGTAGGCAGAGGTGCACATTACGGCACTTAAAGCCTTAATGCCACTGTACAGTGTAACACCCACTTTTCACTATTTATGTTATGAGTCCCATGTAATAGGGAGTGAGCCTATTGCCATATACCGGTCACATTTCAAGACTCCGTGCTACTACTGAGGTTTTTTTAAAAAACCCAGTGATACTTGTCCGACCCGTGAATCAAACCCAAGGATCCCTTACCCGTCGTACTTGCGACCACTTGGCCAATGAGGCAGTCAAGTAAGCAGTACCCTTACCACAACTTCCACGCTTCCTTCAACATTGACACCTTCCCCGTTGGTGAACGCTACAATATCTTGGATCTCCGACCGGGCGACTATAGTCACCCTGTACACTATGTGCGTGGCTCCAGCCTTGTTCACTGCGTCACAGCGATATATACCTTCTGACTGCCTCGTTATATTTGTACTAGACAACTGAGAGTTCTGTTCATGCCAGTTTGTGTTACTGGAAGGAAAAATAGTAACATAACATGACATCGCGCCTTTTATACCCGAAGGGGTAGGCAGAGGTGCACATTACGGCACTTAATGCCATTGTACAACTTAATACTCACTTTGCATTACTCAAGTTATGGGTGCCATGTAATAGGGGATGAGCCTATTGCTATATACCGGACACAATTCCAGACTCCGTGTTACTACTGAGTTTTCTTAAAAAACGCAGTAATACTTTGCCCGACTGGGAATCGAACCCGAGACCCCTTGCCCGGCAGTCGCACTTACGACCACTCAGCAAACGAGGCAGGCAGGAATAATAGTTTGTTTAGTAAAGTGGGATTTAACATCCTTTAACATCCTTTACTTCATTAATTATTATATCTTTCGGTTTACCACGTCACTGGTTGTGTGGAGCGGAAAATGCTGCTCATGAATATGAGCCCCTTTTTTTAAGGGGGGAAAATCATCGAATGACTGCTCCCGCTTGGGTGAGGCGGAAGGGAGTGTCAGACTGTTACTGACTAAAAACCACCCCGTTCCTTCTCCTGCACGTCGAGCCGGAGCCCCGGTTACCCGTTAGGTTCTCCGGGACTCCGAATCGGCATCGGCCCTATTGGGCCCCATCCGTGGTGGTCTGTTGGCTCTTTGAGGCGCGCGCATAACATCGTCAAATAGTTGCGTGAGTAAGCGGAAAAACATAATAAAAGTAATTATTATGTTTTTCTTAATTATTTTTTTTAAACGTTGCCCCACATTAGGATTCTCTCCTGTGTCGTGGGTGCGTTTACAAACATACAACTTCACATACACAATGACACCCAGACCCAAAACAACAATTTGTGGATCACACAAAGTGTTGTTCCGTGCGGGAATCGAACCCGCGACACGTTGCATGGTAACCGGTTGCCCAACCACCGCACCAACCGTGCAGTCTGTCTATATAATATATGTCTCACTAAAGTTGTTATACAAATATTCTATATTTCTTTTTGGAATATAGAATGTTTAAAACTACGGAGGAGAATGTGATAGTCCAGTAAAGAACTATTGACGATAAAACAAAAAATACTATAATCATACATACTTGTATGTCCATGTAAGTGTAGGCTGTGGCGTTCCTCTAGCATTACACTGTAATGTCGCATTAACGCCTTCCTTCAGCTGTACGTCCAACATATCAAATTCCGATATAAATGGAGGAACTGCAATAAAATAACCATGTACGTGACCATGACATTAACGGTAAAACAGGGTAAATACCATTTTAGGGGTCTTTTTTTTAAGGGGGGAAAATTATCGAATGACTGACTGCTCCTGCCTGGGTAAGGCGGGAGGGAGTGTCAGACTCTTACTGACTAAAAACCACCCCGTCCCTTCTCCTGCATGTCGAGCCGGAGCTCCGGTAACCCGTTAGATAAACAAATACAGAAGAGAAGTGATGAGCCTAGCTTCACTGACGAACAGACTGACAGAATATTTTTTATTTTGTATTTGTTGACGTTTCAAAAGTACTAAATTATAGTTTCATTGAAATAAATATTTCCTCTACGGAAAAAGCCCTTCTTATTAAATAAAGATTTAAAAAAAAAATGCTTTGAAGTAACTACTAAAACGATTTCCAATCACCAAGAAGAACCCCGTTTTTGATAATTCACCCCTTTAATTCTATTTATCCCGTTTTAATAGATGTAGAAATGTGGTAGCTACAGGCGTTTGAGGAACTGAAAATCGAAGTTAAGAGGTCATAAGCCTCTAAAACTAGCCATAAAAAGATTTGCCAAATTAATTATCGTAATATAATACAAAATTGTCTCTTTCTAAAAGTCAATGTATAGTCAACGGTCAAAAGTCCACTGCCATCGTGAGTGATGTTCACACGGCAATGCGTAAGTAATTTCATATTAATGTGCATAAAAACGCGTGCGTACGCACACAGATAAATATGCGTGTGCATGTGTGTATAAGTGCTGCAGCGCAACAAATATTAGTCTTACGGTGGCTGTGGACTTTTGACCATTGACCGTACATATAGGTATATATGTCGTCATGAACTTACTCAAGACGTTCAAAGAGAACAGTTTGATGGCCGTCCCATGTACATTGCTGACTATACATTTGTATTCGCCCGCGTTATGAGGCTGTATATTGATCATTTTCAAACGGGGCTTATCTTCAAACACTAGAGGTTTGGACTTGAACATCCATTTAGTCTGAAAATTGTATAAAAAATACGTGAATTATAATTGGGCATCCGGTAACCTCACTCACACGACGAAACATAACGCAAGCGTCGTTTCACGTCGGTCTTTTGTGAAGCTGTGGTATCACTCCGGTCGGGACGGCCTATTCGTGTCGAATCATGGCTCTCCCACACTTATACTTATTGAATACTTACCTTAGCCCTAGGTTTTGCATCGGCAGCGCAGTCGAAGTACCAGTCGTCTCCTCTTAACACTTCCACACTGGTCGAAGTATGGTCTACAAAAGCTGGAGGCCATTCAACCACGATTTGTACTTTAGCATAAGCAGAACCAACTACATTTCTTGCTACACAAGTATATGTAGATGTGTTGTGGCGAGACACGTTTGTTAGAAGAAGAGTTCCTGATGATATCACGTTCGCATTCTGTAAAGTCAAAGTCAAAATCATTTATTTCAATTAGACCAGGAAGGCACTTTTGAACGAAAAGCTGAGTTAAAAAAAGCTAAGTTACAGTAATAATAGTAAATATAGTAGTAGAAGTTCATATTATATGTATATGTGTGTTTTGGTATCAGTTTATGTCGATAATGGGTTCAAATTCAGAATCCCTGCGAATACCTGATCTGGAGATTACACCGATTTTTTACATTCTACTGAGAATTTAAAAAACCTCACAGTCTGAAACTCGATGCTTGGCAACATACTTGTTTATATATTCGTTCTTATTGTAATGAAATCCAGCAAAATTATAAAAAAAAATCGATTAGCCAATTTTGATTTTTAGCTATGATGTTAGTTCCGTTACAATAAGAACGATTATATGATTTAATTTCCAGATTGTAAGATTACTGAGAATTTCAAAATCTGAGAATCTCGCTGTTTTTTGAAGTGTATAAAGAAAAAATATTAATTAATATAATTTCATAGTGTAACATCGAACCTTATACCATTTGAGTGAGTGCGAGCCTGTGACGGGACACTCGACCGTAGCGTTAGTTCCTTCTACCAGCGTCAATGAAGACAAGCTCTCTTCTGATTGTGAGTGAACCGGAATTGCTGAAGGAGGAAATAAAATATTTGGTATAGATGTTTTATCTAACGAGCGCGGGTGCGCCATACTTGTGTGGGTAAATGGACACGCATGTGCGTGTCCATTATGTGTGAGTGTGTCTTTGTTTGCGTACGCTCGGGAACGCCCAGTTTTGGCCGGCAAGCCAATGAATGAAGTTGTGGCGAATTACGCACACAAGCGCGCCAGTCTATACGCACTACAACTACAACTATGGCTCACCCGCAAAAACTAATAACTACTGGAATTGTGGCCGGTGGCAATAGGCTATAGGCTCACCCCCTATTACATGGGACTCGTAACGTAAACAGTGAAAAGTGGGTGTTACATTGTACAGTGGCATTAAGTAAGTGCCGAAATGTGGACCTCTGCCTACCCCTTTGAAGATAAAAGGCGTGATGTTATTTTATGTAAAAACTAATAAATATGCATTTACTAACATAATACTTACAATATATTTCAACAGGTACCGTCTTATTCACCACTCCGATGGAATTCTTCACAGTACAAGTGTAGTTGCCGCTCATATCTTCTGAGGGAGACTTGATCGTCAATGTACCGTCTAAATCTATGGTGTATCGAGGATCTAAAACAGTCATTGATTGATTATTGTAAAGTTTTTTTTTTATATTGGATAAGTTGATAAACACGCATATAGATAACCTGATGGTAAGCAATCGGCGGCGCTCATGGACACCTGAAACACCGCGTTAAAAATGTGTTACCGGCCTTTTAAGGATTAGGAATTAGAGGATTGTTGCGGATGCGGGCGATTGGGGATTATTAGGCCTCCGGTGGTACTAGTAAAGCTGCAAACAGCTACTAAAGGACAGACAGCACCCCTAGTATTGGCTGTATTTCTGAACCGATACGAATTTCAAACCTTCAAGAGGTTACGCATTTGTTATTCCCCTGGTGTTGCGGATGACCATGAGCGGCGCTGTTCGATTGTCTAGTAGGTATTTAATAGAGAAAATCCTTTTCAGTGACCTAATTAGGATTCACTCAGGGCAGATTTGATTTATCATTAATTCTTATCATGTGAACATAGGTGCGCGAATTACTTGTTCTGAAAAATTACATACGTCATCTACCTGTGTCACTTCCGGTCTCAGTAATTACGTTCGTACACACGGCCACACATCAATCTATACAAAACCAGTCTATCCTGGTGTCGCGTCGCATCATCTTTCCGCACATTTAACGTTCAGTTTATACTGGTTATGTAAAGCTCGATGTGTAGCCGTGTGTACAAAAAAATATACTTCTTTCCGTATTGATTCAAAATTTAAGTGAAATTTTATAACTAGGAAATTACCGTTATTCAAATAAAATTCGTCTTTAGACCACACGACATAAGGTTTAGGTTTCCCAGTAGCTCGGCAAGCGATTGTGAGTGCCGTATCCATTGTTGTAGCTAAATACGGTCCAGTGTAATTGTCCTCTAAAATTTTCGGTGGTTCTAAAACAAAAGATACCCCGAGTTACTTTAAATAATAAACTTGAATAAAATGGAGTATGAAGTAAAAATCGCGGGTTACTCTCATGAATATACTGAGATAAGCTCTATTAGTTTCGAGCCACAGAGGGGCTCTTCCTCATGAGCAGCGTGGGCGGTCGCGGCGATGTCAGTACCTCTATATTCAGGAGAGTAACCCGCGAATATGTTTCACGATAGTTATTATAAATATGACTTATATATGAAATATGACTTTAATAGATACGAACACAGACTTACCATTAACTTTGAGGTAAGTACTTTTTTCAGCAATACCGCCATTGTTTTCAGCTACGCACACATATAAACCTTCATGGTTATGTTTCACTTGAGTTATATATAAATTGCCAATGTCGTTAGCACTGGAAAAGAAAAATTGAAATAAATACCTATACAACAAATTTCAAGCTGCGATTTCACATATTTTCCTTTGTTCAGACCGTGTGAGTGAGGCGGCTGAAGGCACGATCTTTTTCTCCCTAAATCCCCCAATCCTCAAATCCCTAATCCCTAAAATGGGACTGATACTCCTCTTATCCTTTGGTATTTTAGGTGGCCATGGACGGCGCCGATTACTTATCATCAGGTGATTCGTCTGAATTTCGTTGCACGATTCAACTTCACACACATACATACCTATGTCAGTCATGCATACATTACAAGTTAAATAAAATCTTGTAAAAAAACTATAAGAATACCTCAAGTCTGAAGTATTAGAAATCAGTAAGCTGTCTTGAAACTGCCACCTCACAGTGGGTACTGGAAACCCGATGACGTCACATTGTAACGTTACATTTTCACCGAGCAAAACTTCCTTCAAACTGTATAATGGAGGTCCTATGTATGGGGGTACTGAAATCATACCATTTTTGAATCAACGTCTTGGTTTTGAGAGATTCACTTTAAGAATAAGTAACTTGTATAAACCATGTTTAAAATACTCCCTATTACACGGGACTCACAACATAAATAGTGAAAAGTGGGTGTTACATTGTACAGTGGCATTAAGTACCGTAATGTGCACCTCTGCCTACCCCTTCGGGGGTAAAAGGCGTGATGTTATGTGTATGTTTAAAAAAAACCGACTTCAAACTACTTTTTTTAAGTCGGTTAAATAAAACCTGCTTTTAAGTGCAACTAACACTTTTCTGAAACCATACCAAAATCGATTCAGCAAATCGCGAGACCATTGTGGACGAACATACATACATACATACGTATATAGGTCAAAAGGAGAACTTTCTTCTTTTTTGAAGTCGGTTTTTGTTGCCAGTCTTGGTGTCTTGGGCTTGGGCACGATTCCCAGATCATATATAAGTCTTCTGATTTTCAAAATTCTCATTACTAAATGACACACAACTTCTGCAGGTAAACATGTATACATTTAATACAATTATATCTTTGCTTAATCGCTTGGTTAGGTAAGTAAATAAGAGGCCATGGTTAAACTTACCCCATATGTGTACTGTGTATGTAACAGAAGTATTCCCATATACATTTGAAGCCGTACAAGTATAATCTCCGAAATCAGTCAGATTGGCCACAAAGCTAAAAAATGGATATATGGGTAAGAGATAAACGTTTTATTTTAACTTATTGAGTACACTCGACTGATCTCGAACTATACCGGGGCTCATAATAATTAAATTTAGAGAGAGCCTCTGAATACAAAATTTTGTTATTTCTGCACCACCCAACGGTTGACTTAGAGAGTTCTTTAAAGTATTAAATTGTATTGTGCAACGACGTCAATCCCAATTACTATTATGAAAGCGAAAGTAAGTTTGTTTGTAACCTCTTTGAGCTCTATTTACTCAATCAATTTGAAACACTTACACATTATTGGGAGTATACTAACAGCGACATATACTATGTACTTTTTTATAGGAAATCAACGAAAGTATAAAATGAAGTGATACATAATCTTACCTCAATCCATACTCGTCAACATATTTCCTGTGATCAGATAATGGTGCACCATTTTGTGTCCACTCCACTATTGGTAATGGGACTCCTTGTGCACTACAGGGTAACTCAACTCGTTGCCCTTCTAGTACTTCTAGTAAAGTTTCAGGGGCAGATGTTACTTTGGGCGGGTCTGAAAAATAATTAAATAAATATATATTTACGAACGAATCCCTTCTACGAACATTTATTCTCATGACAGTAATTTCATACCATACTTGTATAATACGTTTATACATAATTTTTATTCATGTGCCTAACTGTAATGTACCAATAATTTGTGAATGAATTTACTTGGCATTATTGTAATTACTAGTTTTTTTATTTTATTTTATAAAGCATGATTAACATAATATTTCTACACCAGCAATGGTGGTGTATGTGAACCAATATTTAATGTAAAACCTCAATGTACCATATACTTGGAAATAAATGACATTCTATTCTATTCTAAAATGGGACCCTTAACATTATTGCCGAAATGGGGTTATTTCATATCAACCAGTATAAGGTATCACATAGTAAAGGAAGGTGTAGGAGTTATTTAAGGAAGATGTCATAGGTCGGCAAACGAGTAGACGGATCACCTGATTAACTGCCACTCTAGGAGGAAAGGGGCAATTAGGCCTCAAGTAGACATAATCACACGGCGAAACACAACACAAGCGTTGTTTCACTCCAGTCGAGCCGGCGCAATCGTGCCGAAGATAGAATATATGTAGACTAGCGGGCCCAACAGACGTTGCCCTACATATCCACTTGAATGTATAAACAAAAATTCATTCAAATTAGTTCAGCTGTTTAGGATAAATAACCTAAACATCGACTGCAGCGCCATCTGCCGGGCTGATTTGTGAATCTAAACCATTCCCAGATCCCATTGAACACACACAAAAAATGTCATTAAAATCGGTCCAGTCGTTTGAGAGAAGTTCAGTGACATACACACTCACAGAAGAATTATATATATAAAGATTAACACATTGGATGCCGTGTCGGACAATGATGTCAGACGCGTTTTTTTTAAGGGGGGAATATCATCGAATTAATTCTCCCGCCTGGGTGAGGCGGGAGGGAGTATCAGACTCTTACCTACTGACTAAAAACCACCCTGTTCCTACTCCTGCACTTCGAGCCGGAACCCCGGTAACCTGTTAAGCTCTCCGCGGCTGATGTCGAACGCTAGCGGTGGATTAGCCCTTAACAGTTTTTATCGGCAGTCAAAAACCAAGTATATACCTTACCGTATACGATCAGTGTGAAGTCCTTATGTGTAGAGCCCACCGTACTAGTCGCAGTGCAAGTGTAAGTGCCTGAATCATACGCTGACACACTCTTTATTGAGAGTTCATTTGTATCTGAAAGTAGTCTAAACACAAGAATACATTTTACAAAAAAGTATAAACTCTATTTTACATCCTCTGAGGAAAAAAAAGGAAAAAAACCGGCTGCCGTGCAACGTGGTGCGGGTTCGATTCCCGCACAGAACAACACTTTGTGTGATCCACAAATTGTTGTTTCGGGTCTGGGTGTCATTGTGTATGTGAACCTGTATGTTTGTAAACGCACCCACGACACAGGAGAAAATCATAATGTGGGGCAACATTGCTCTTAAAAAAAAATTTGAACAAATTAGAATATTTTTCATGAATTTCTTAAAGTATTAAAACATTATAGTTTCGTGATTTGAACTAGCACCAAAAAAGTTCTACATTAATGGGGACTACCGTCTTTCTGTTCACCAAATGGCACAGGCAAACGGTCTGTTTGTCCAATCCAATCACTGCAGCTGTCAAATATTAAACGCCCAATGGTTTGACACTAGCTAATTGGGATAATGAACATTTAAAATCTAATTAGTCCGTAAGTTAGGTAATGAAAAAATATTAGACATGTATTTTATTTTATTTTGTCATATAATAAAACAACACTTCAATAAATCGAATCAAAGTTTAGGAGTCGGGGCTAAAACGTCATTTCTACGTATAAAATGTACATAGAAGTGACGTCACGCTTCATTTCAAATCAACATATCGTCGAAAGTATTCGTTTCTGTAAGAAAATAAAAAATACGTGTCTAATGATTTAAAATAATCTACCAGACGGACATTAAAATAAAAATTAGGCATCTACCCTATTCCTGATTGGACAAAGAACGAGAGCACACTTGCGCCAATTGGTGAGCAAAGATACATTAGCCCTCATTTTATTTCTACTATACAGAAGTGTAACTTACATGTTGTCAGAGTACACCAGAGGACGTGTGTCCTTAGTCCACACTAGTATAGGGGGAGGGGATCCCTCCGTTTTGCAGGAGAATTTCACTTCATTCCCCAGCTTTACCTCTCGAGGCTTATTAACGCCTTCTAAAGTACTATCAATGCGAGGTGGATCTAGAAATAGAACGCAATTCTTACCAAATCTATAGTCAGGTTGTTAGCTATTGAGCTTATTATTATTATATTGTTAACTTGCCTTAAGAAGTATTTGTAGAGTAAAATTAAGTAACCGAGTGAAAAATAGAGTTATTAGAGAACGGTAAAATAGAGTTATTTGAAAGATGATGTAGTGACAATGATTGAAAAGGAAATGTTACGATGGTTTGGATTAGACATGTAGACAGGATGGATGAACTCAGATTTACGAAAGAATTATACAGAGCGGATATGAATGAGACAGTTGGTAGAGGGCGCCCTATCTAGACGATCGACCAGATATATTGACTTGTTTGGCGATATATTAAAGAAACGCCTATTAAAAGTGCCCTTAACCGACAAACATGGATGAAAATACTGACAACTGTTGGTAAAGCGAAAAAGGTATGTAAGAATCGTAACAATTGGCGTTCTAATCTCTGCCTAACTCGTGGGAGACAGGCGTGAGGTTATGTATGTATGTACTTACATTGTACTACTAGGATGACATCATAAACGTCTTTCCCGATCACATTAACTGCGGTACACCGATACACACCACTTTGTTCTTCCGCTGTATTACTTAAAATAAGTTCCTTCTCATTATTGACCACGCCATCAGGTAAAGTAGCAAATTCTTCCGACGATTGCTTTTTAAATTCCCAAGATATTGTAGGCTCTGGGCTGCCTTTGAGAACTCTATAAAAAAGTTAAACGAACATTACAATTACGCGTATAATTTTAAGGTTTTTTTTAGATCTATTTATATAAATAAAATGTTTTCCGTTCTCTAGTCTCGCTATAACTAGAGAATCGCTGAACCAATTTGGCTAATTTTGGTCTTGAAATGTTCATGGAAGTCCAGGGAAGGTTTAAAGGGTGAATAAATAAAGTTTTTGAGGTGGTACGAAGTTTGCCAGGTCAGCTAGTAAAAGATAATTTCTGAATGATATAAAAATCTTTATCCCAAACTGCTGAACGGATCGGAATTAAATGCAGCATAGAGATAGATACCTAATTAATAATAGTCAGGCGACATAAGCTAGTTATTTATATGACTTAGGTAAGAATAAATTATAACGATACATAGTCTCACCTACATGTGATTTTAGTAGAGTTGCCGGAGCGGGCAGTTATTTTTGTCAACTCTTTAGATATAACGGGAGCCGCTGAAATATTAAAAATATTTATTACTATAATTCTGAAATAGATTTTCCAAAAAAAGGAAGTATCCAGGGTCGGTCGAGCAAAGTTAATGGATAGAATTAAAAGGACATGTCTAAGAATCTACATTTGGATTAAGCACCTAGCTTAAATGACTAGCATTCTATTTTAGACTTTACAAAAGTGCCTGTATGTGGTATAGTTGAAACAAATGCTTTGCTTTTCTCAGTGTTAGCATGGAGTTCAGATTTGTGACCGGTGTATGACAATTGGCGCACCCCTAATAACATAACTGGTGAAAAGTTGGAGCAACTGTATATGCGGCTCTTTTACCAAAGGCCTAATGTTCAAGACGCGTCATTTGCCGAATGCATGCAACCTATAAATAAGTATATGTATAAGCGGATTTATAAAGTGACGCAACGCTACCGCTACGCGAACACAGTTTTGATTGTTTCAACGCAAGATACAAGCATTCATTTTGCAATAGTCAATTGACGAAAGCGTGCGTATGACATAAAGTTACGTAAAAATAGGACTACCTCTTCGAGGATTAAAAGATATGACGTCATACAATGTTATCGTAATTTCATAACGAAAATCTTACCTAAACCAGTGACACCAATTGTTCCAGTCACTATTATATTTTCATAGCCATTATCGGCTATACAGGTGTAGCCACCAAGGTCATTAAACTCGATTCTTTTTAAATACACTGTAGAGTTGTCCTCGGAAACATGTACGTTACTGTTAGTGACTAGTTCAGTACCATTATGGTACCAAATAGTGTTGGGCAAAGGATAAGAATCGATAACACACTGCAGTTCAACTTGATAATAGAGCTGCACTGATTGATCTGGAAATTATCGATAAAATGGTATTGGTAAGTAAATTTGTAAGTTATGTTAAAATTAGTGATGCGAAGTAATCGATGAATTTGAATGTACAGTTTTAAAACTTGGATTAAATTATGAAATTGAATAAAACCTAATGATAACTGTAGATCAAGTACGACTGTTAAACTTTGTAATCCATGTATGACTAATAATGGTCACTATTATCAAGAAAATGATCATGTATACCTTCGAATCCATGAAGTAACTTCATCTTTCTCCGAACATGGACGGTCAGACTGTCTTGATGTATGCCTTCAGAGTTTTCTCCAAAGCAGAAGTAAGTGGCGGCCACAGAGTCCGCACTTGAATTCAATTTCAATACACTTCGGTATACATTCGGTTGTATTTGTTTAATCTGGAAATTTCCAACTTTTACCAACACAAAAACAATATTTCAAGTCAGACCAGTATTTCCTGAGATAAGCGCGGTCAAACAAACAAATTAACTATTCAGCTTCAGCTCACATAATACAAAATTCATTATTATGAAAAAATCCAAAACAATTGCACATGCAAAAGTAGTCTCTAACCATCGGAAATAAGGTCTGTAATGGAGGGAGTGGAGCGCAGTCACCATCCGATAAGATAGTTTGGCTCATCAGGTAAATATTTTCAGTCTGATGATACTTACAGTATTATTGAGAAAAGTCTCAGTCTCTCTGTGCCACAATATCCGCGGCGATGGCTTAGCGACCACTTCACAAGTCACTTCGACGACAGTAGCGTTCAGTATCGTTATGTTCTTTGAACCTATTATACTGACTACTGGCTTTATTAGGACATTTACACTCACTTTATCCATACCTAGGACAAAGGGCAATATTATTAAAGAATAGGTAGAGGTTTAAAAGCTTACTGTAGTTCTCTTTAATTAGGTAAGATTCGTTAATTATTATGTTTTCGGTTTACTCACGTAACGTAACTGTTTGACGAGGAACTCGACTAGTTTCAAGCCATGCTAGAGGCTCATATTCATGAGCAGCAATCCTTGACCCGCGACGGGTAGAGGTTTAAAAGCTTTTTTTTTGTTTTTTTTTTTAAGGGACAAGCCCGCTACAACCTCATAAAACCGCTGCAACTCCTGTAAGCCAGGATCTACAGTAGATACAACCATGAAAACACCGGAAGACTGAAGTCCGGCCCGTCCCAGGGACATGAGTAACTGTCTTGGTTCCCGCAACGAAGTGAATCAGAAGATATTATAAAAGGAGAAGAAGAAAAGCTTACTGTAGTTCTCTTTAATTAGGTAAGGTTCGTTAATCATTATATTATGTTTTCAGCTTACTCATTCATCACATCACCACTATTCCGCGACCCGCGAAGCAGCGACTGTCGCGCTGCTACTGAATATGAGCCTCTAGCATGGCTTGAAGCTAGTCATACCTTTACCTTTTAGTGTTCATATTTGTAAGTGTCACCTATCATAAACTAGCATCTGTCCGCAGCTTTGCCCGTGTTGACGTGGGATAAAAAGTAGCCTATGTGTTAATATAAACCATAATCTATCCCTGTTCCATATGTCAACCCGATCCCTTCAGGCGTTTTGACGTGATTGAGTAACAAACATACACACAAACACACAAATACATATACATTTTTGCATTTATAATATTAGTAGGAATCCAAGGATCCATAAAATTAAAGACTGCCTCATTGACCGAGTGGTCGCAAGTGCGACTGGGCAAGGGGTCTCGGGTTCAATTCCCGGGTCGGGCAAAGTACTACTGGGTTTGTAAAAACCTCAGTAGTAGCACGGAGTCTGGAAATGTGCCCGGTATATGGCAATAGGCTCACCCCCTATTACACGGGACTCATAACATAAATAGTGAAAAGTGGGTGTTACATTGTACAGTGGAATTAAGTGCCGTAATGTGCACCTCTGCTGTAAAATTAAAAAGAGGTCATTACTCTTATATCTAGTTCCCACTACGCTAGTAATTTGGTCGAGTAGCGAGTATTTAGTAGTACTCTCTCGCTAAATACTTGCTACTCGACTAAATGACTAACGTAGTGCCAACAAGGCATTATATTTAATTCAAAGCTTGAACTATACACGTACCTCTACGAGATCCTCTAACCGCCGAGCATGTCCATTCACCATCATTAGTAACATTCTTTACTTCTAGCATGTCATTAGTAGGTCCTGTAACATCTCTGGACCTGACCACAGTCCCATTAGGCGCGGTCCATACGACAGTGCCCGCGTTATCCACAGTACATACGAGCTGCATGCTAGAGTTAATCTTCTTTGACAGTGTGTGAGGGCCTAATATTTGTGCAGTTGGATCTGCTTTCAGTTTTATAAGCGTTGTTTGGTTTGTTTTGCCACCTGAAATAGGTATGATGACAGGGTATGAAAATTAAAAATGTAATTAGTCCGTCAGTTAGGTAATGAAAAAATATTAGACACGTATTTTTTATTTTGTTGTATAATAAAATTATACTTAGATATAACGAATCAAAGTTTAGGAGTGGGGGCTAAAACGTCATTTCTACTACAAAATATACATAGAAGTGACGTCACGCGACATTTCAAATCAATATATCTCCGAACTATACGTTTCCGTAAAAAAAATTAAAATACGTGTCTAATATTTTTAAATAATCTACCAGACTTACATTAGAATTAAAAATTAGTTATCTACCCTATTATCATTGTGAGCTGTTATAAGTTGACTATGTACCTATAACTAATGCCTGAATATTAGCAAATTTTCTATTGGTGGCTCGTCGCTCGTAAAGCGCTCGAAATTGATCTTCAATCTTAGAAGATTAGTTACTCAATTATCGACTCCAAAAAGTATGGTGTATCTATTATTATTAGCTTGTTTTAGTTTTATAATTTAGCTTATTATCTTTTGTTTTCTTTCTGTATGTGTTTAAACCTTTTTATTGTTATTTTGTTATAATGTATATTTCTTTTTGTTCCTGGCGTTCATGTCATATGCCAAATAAACAGATTTCATTTCATTTCAAAAAATGAATGTTTTTTTCACCGATTCTCCGGTTCACCTATTGCTTCGCCATTTGTCAACCGATTCCCAAAATTCTTGTAGGCTAGAAGTCGGTGCCATAAGGTCATATAAAATGTTATAACTTAATGGTCACAAAATTGTAAAGAGCTTAATATTAGGTTTCTATTAAGGTTTTAATAAATAATTTTGTATAGAACTTATGGCGCCGACTTCTTCCCAATCAGTGGGTGGGTAACGTATCAGTACTAATAATAGTAACTTATCGCTTTTTAGTTTTTAATTATATTGTTCGTTTTTAGATTTATGAAGTCGGTTTTTTAAACGCTGTTTTTATTTATTTTTGTACATATAATAACAAACTTGACTTCATATTTATAATATTAGTAATATTAAAGAATTACCTCTGTTAGCAGCGATACACGTGTACAAGCCAACAGTATCAGAATCTATTTTAATAGTTTTCTTATACGGGTACACTCCTTCTAATTTAGGCTCCTTGTCTATTTCGGTAGCTGCGAAATGAAAATAAAAACATAAGTTCTGATATTTTAGTTTAAACTATACGAACTGGTGAAACTACAGTTGCTGAACGATACATTTATAAGAAATCTAAAAATCTCTTTTCTTGCATATTGAATAGAAATCTCACAAAAATATTAACAATGTTTAACTAAGTAACAGTTACACATACTGTTCATGGTTATGAGCCCCTGTCGCAGCTTGAAACTAGTCGAGTAAACTTCTCGAACAGCTGCATACGTAAATAAAGTAACGTTATATTACCAGTATAGGCATACATACTATAATTTGTTTGACTCCCATTGAAGATCAGTCGGTTTTCTAACAAGAGTGCTTCGCTGTACACCGTGCAGGATATTGTTAAAGTGTCACCTACTTCTAATTCCGTAGTATTTTCCGGTTCCATAGTTATTTGAGGTGGCTCAACTGAAACATTGATGAATATATTTACACATCTTCTTGTTGGATACGTTATTTATAATACAAGAATGGCAAATCGGTTTTGGCTGAAAATTGGGGGTAGTTTAATACCAGGGTGCTTACTTTTGAAATCTCAATGTCAAATCAATTTCAATCCAATAAAATCTTAATAAATAATTCAATGTCAAAACTATAATGGGATTGTATCGTAGCTGTAATAGCATTCAGAGTACGGAATATAAAGCCAAACTTAATACCATTTAGTGCATTCAATATCCACGCAATACGGATGCAATGGGCGCTAGTGTTGTAACCCAAGAAGTCAAGAGTACAAAATTTCACAATATCAATGTCGATCGATCGAAATTGAATTCAAGAGTAAGGCCCCAGGAGACGGATACAGGGCACTTATTATCCAAGGACTTCCCGAAAATTCTATGGGAAAGGGAAAAACCGGGATTGCGCGTACGAAGTCGCGGGTGTCGAGGAGGAGTCGTCGAGAAAATTGTATTGGGAACAATTTGGATTTTTCAAATTCTCAGCTATGTTATAGAATCCGAAATCGTGACGATGCTCGGCATCTGTGAATTTTATTATTTTCATTCATTCTCGGACGACGCAAAATCATATTGAATATACAAATGTTTCAACCTTTCATCATTTATCAACCTTTTCGTGTTTGCTCGTTAACTGGCTTTTTTAAAATGTTATTTATGTCTTACCAATAAGGTCGAGTACGGTGCTAGTCCTGCTGACCCCAGCCATATTGTGAGCGATACATCTATATGTACCGACATCTTCTTCTTTCATATTCTCTATCACGAAGTCTATCGACGTTGTTTGTCTGAAACCGATGTTCTATATTTTATTTATTGGATAAGGCAGAAAACGAGCTGTAAAATCACGTAATAGTCAGCAATCGGCGCCGTCCATGAAGACCTGCAGCACCAAAAGAGGTACAAATCCACTATAATCGCGAGTTACTCACGTGAATATACTGAGAAAAGCTCTACTAGTTTCGTACCCAAGAGGGGTTCTTCCTCATGAGCAGCGTGCGCGGTCACGGAGATATCTTGGGCAGCCCAACGCGCCTTCTGCCAGACATAACGAACGTTTGCTTCCAACTCCGGCGGCGGCGCAGCGCAAGTAGCAACGCCAATGCGAGCGCCAATGCCAGCCAGTGAGCTGCGCGACATCGCCGCGACCGCGCACGCTGCTCATGAGAAAGAACCCCTCTGTGGTTCGAAACTATTTGAGCTTTTCTCAGTATATTCACGTGAGAAACGATTTTAGTTAATTTAATATGTCTCACGATAGTTATTATAAAAACAGGTACAAATCCGTTGCTGGCCTTTTAGGGGGTTTTATTTGGAGATTAGGGATGGGGGAGAATTGGGTCTACGAAAGCACACGTATGACACGTTGACGTAGAAAATTAAAGTCAATGCGGTTTGGCAGTGGTTATAAAAATGTACACAACATACTCACAAGCTGGTGATCTGTTTATACATTTTCGTTCCGTCCTTAGTCCACATAGCAGTAACCGGCACCAAACTCTCCACAGAACACGATAACACTACTCGCGAGTGGGAATGCGCTTCAACCTACAATGATTTAGAACATATCACGCCATTTAATGCAAGATACAAAACTTTCTTCTAGATCAAACGAAATACATATAGTATCACAAAAAAGTCAAATAATATATACCATGATATATATCCTTCGAAACCTGATTACATTGTATGTAAGTGCTTACATTCAGGCAAGATGTTTTATCTGCATACTAAATGCAGATCAATATTGATTCAATACAGAAACGCCACGGTAGCCTATAGATACTGTTTCTGTAATAAAACAATATATATTTTCTTGCCTGAAATACCAAATGACTTGGTTGACTGTACATAAAACATGTATCTAATCTTAAGTGATCCTATGAACCTCTTCTATTCTTTTATAGCCAAAACCATCACGCTTGACAAGCAGGTTGGTGAATACAGTTTCTAAAGTTCTGATTTATTAGGCAACGCTACTGCCCAGTCTCTGTTATACTGCCAATTTCATTAACTGATTTCAATCCAAAACCATTGGATCTATCTTCATTTTAAAAATTCAATCGCTAGATAATCGCGCACAATCATGCATATATACACAGTACACACATACAGCAGATACTGTGAAGCTCCTTTTTTTGAAATTGGTTGAAAATCGATCTCAATCTAAAGATTTTGGATTGAGATCGGTTATTGAAATGGTTAGTTAGTCGACTCTTGCGACGCTCGCAGGTATAGTAGGGGGTGACGACAAATAGTTGCTCTATCGGACTTCACATTGTATACACATGAAGCATGTTCCCAGAATCCATAAAGAACTAAATCATCGCTTACCACCAGGCGAGATAGTAATTAAACGTCGGGCCATCAAATATATTAAAAAAATATGTAAACCAAATATCTTACCTTTCTAGATGCTGTTAGGTAGGGGACATCTGTAAGAGAAAATTATGCGTGTATAGGGTTAATGAAAATTACAAATTAATGACAATCCGGATTATAGTTTAAGAGTGGGGGTTACTTCATCATCGCTCAGTACAGTCGAATATGCAAGTGTTTTGTTTCACTAAATAATAAAAACTGACCTGGCACACAAAATAGTAACTTTTAAGCATCTACCAACAATAAAGAATGTTGATCGATGCTTTTCAGTAATTATTAATACAGCAACGAACATTCGGATCACTTAACAATAAGCGATCGGCGCGGCGCCGCCAATGGACCTGCGATACCAGAGAAACTACTGTAATAAGTCGATAAAAGAGCTCTCGGAGAGAAGAGAAACTCAACGTGGAGTATTCTATATGTGTATATTTATGTAGTCTCCATAGTAATAATCCCAGAAAACACATTACACTGTCTTTTATATTATTAGCTAATGACCCCAATTCGTACGTCAATATGCTACGGTAATTACTTTAAATGTAGCAGTGCAACAGTGAATTATGACATATACTACACCACAAGTGCGCTGCCGGTCTTTTGGGTTAGGGATTTGAGGATTAGGAGTTTGGGGACTGGGGAGGGGAGGAATTGGGCCTCCTTAATCACGCGGCGAACGCAACGCAAGCTTTGTTTTCCGTTGATTTTCTCCGGTCGAGGCCGCACATTTCGGTCGAAGTATGTATTTGAACTCTTGCAATAATGATGACTTGATGACCTATTCAGGGGCCTGTGTAATAAAGATGCGACTTACCCGGTAACTGTGCTTGTATCGCAGTTGCACCTATCCTTCGCAAGTCCTGCTTGTACTTGTCTTGGCCATTGATCTAAAATATACATCATTGTTAAAAATGGTACAAAGATAAAAAATATACTATGTCATTGTGTGTGTTTCATATTTTTCATCAATCAATCCTTTTTAAAACACTTTTATCAGGTTGACCGGTTGACCGCTATTCTATATTTATTTTCAAAAGAAGTTTATTCGATCGCGGCCCGCCATTTCAAGTGTTGTGAAAAAAATCTCGACCAATGACGTGCGAGAATGCGATCGAGCTCACTTCTAATTGACAGTTCAAATTGACAGTTGCAGAATTGCTGTAACAAACTATGTATACTCACACTTGTCTTTTTGTTGTATCATTATGGAATTGAGACTTTTAAGGTTAAATAAAAATGTATTTTTCGTAATAAAAATAATTAATATTACGTTTTCGGCTTACTCGCGTAACTATTTGAGGAGTAACTTGACTAGAACGAGTCTAACGTGCCAGCGGTGTCGCGCGCCGCCACAGACGGAGGTGCGTGCGCGTGAATCACGACACAGGGCGCGTTGGGCTCGCACCGCAGCTGACTCAAGCAGCCGCGCAATGCTGCTCATGAATATGAGCCTCTAGCATGGCTTGAAACTAGTCGAGTTTCTCGTCAAACAGTTACGTGAGTAAGCCGAAAACATAATAATTAATTTAGTATACCTGACGAAAGTTTTAAAATAAACATATATTTCTCCTTGCAACATTTTTTTTTTACTTACAGCGATATAGAAGAAGTCGTCAGGTGGAATGAATGGGTCTGCACTGTACAAGTTGTTGTCGATTTGTTTAAGGGGTAGTTCAAAGAGCGAGCGTCCGTCTAGAGTCAATATCTGCGCGTACTGTATGCTAGCCGTCACATTTGGTGGTGACAACGAGATCAGCATGTGGTTGTATGTGCCTTAAAGAAAATATTAAAATTAATTCTATCATTCTTGATATAACCTTAGATTAAACCTTCAATAAGTCTTAACGAATTGACTGATCGTTTTATACTGATAATGTAGAAGAGTTTAAAATTGGCCTAGTGCTCCTAACTTTGAAGCATGCAGATTTAACAATACTTGTCATTTCTAAATATAACATTAATGTTATACAATTTTTAAACCATTGTAAAAGCATACTAAGGCCCCTTATTCGTCAAGAGCGCCATCTAGTGAATACATAAATGGAAATTATATAAAAATATCCTTACTTTGATAAATGCACATCTCATACTTATTTTTTTATTCATAAAACTGAAGAGTTGGTTTGTTTGAATACGCTAATTATAGGAACTACTGGTCTAATTTGAAAAATTATTTTTGTTTTGGATAGTCCATTTATCGACTAAGGCTATAGGTTATAAAATATCACGCTACGCCCAATAAACGCCGAGCAGAGCTGGTGTAACCGCGCGGAAGTAGATACAATTAAATAGGACAACTACTTTTTGCCATTAGTATGTTAGGAGCTCATATACATACATACATTTGAAGGCAAGGCAATATATTCCTAGCTACTAAACTAAATATTTTTGAAAAACATGTTACCTTACCTTTCAAGGGTCTATAACTGGTTTCCTTCATAGACTTAGGCTGTTCCACTGAGAACCCGTGGTTGAAGGTCACATTGGACAGTCCGACCACTTTGACTGAGTGCTCCTTCTCACTGCCCACTGTCACCGTCCAGTTCCCAGGCTCCGGCTGCATCACTTTCACTATCTGGTTTATAAATATTAGATACTATTTTGTAACTTTTATTCATATAAAGAATACTTTCATTTATCTTATTACCAAACCGCAAGTACAACATTATGCCGGAATACTGAAACGTTACTCAATTTTAAGTCGTGCTTAAATATCGTGCCATCTCTGTCATTTAACAAAGAATTTGTGGAGACAGAACTATACTTAAAATTGAGTAACGTTTGAGTATTCCGACATTAGTTAATTAGTTAGCAACCCCATTAACTATTTCCCAACAATTTTTCTTATTTTTTTTTGTCATGTGTAGTAGGTGCGTTTACAAACTTAAAAATTCACATACAAACTACGGCCTGACCCGAAAAAATAATTTATAGAACACACAGAGCATTGTTTCGTGCGGAAATAAAACCTTGCGACACGTTGCACAGCATCCCAGTCACTACGCCAACCGTGCGATGTACAAAAGTAAATTGTTAATTCCCATCGTTCAGGATACATTCACTGATGAACAAAGGCCTCTATATAGCCGGGTTGTCATAATACCCACGCTCGGGTCGCGACTTGGGTATTGCAGTTACGTCATCAAAAATTGAGAGGATGCTGCTGGACACCCAGCGGCGTTAGGTCGCAGTTTTTCGATATATCAAAATGAATAATCAGTCTAACTTACCATAATCTCGGAAAGGTCAAGTGTGGTGATCAGTTTAGGGGGTCCAGTCAGTTTTTCGCCATTAGGGTCTATTACAGAGATCTTCGGCTTCGCTCCCGACACAGACACCGTGACCTCTCCCAAAGTGCTGTCCACTGGAATCTAAAGAATATTGTATTAGGACATTTATGAAAAAAAATAAAGTTCGTCTAGTGAGTGAGGTTAACGGAACTTCAAATTCCTAAACCCCAAAAGGTCGGCAACATTTTTTCAACTCCTGTGGTGTTTCGGGTGTCCATGGAAGGCACTATCAGGTCACCAATTGCTGACCATTAGTTGATCAATTTGCCGGCCTATACCATAAAAAACACTGTATTGTAGGTACCTATAATTAAAAGTAATAATTATGAACCCTGCTGTAGCTCGAAACTAGTTGAGCATCCGTGTATACTGGACAAGTTACGTGAAAATCGTAAACATTATACTTATTTCGAGAAACAAATGTTTAATTAGCTAAATTAACTAAAAATTACGAGGTACTCACATAAATATACTGAGAAAAGTTTACGTAAATAGGTGGCGCGACGTCGCCGTGATCGCGCACGCTGCTTATGAGGAAGAGTCCTTCTGTGACCCAAAACTAGTATAGCTTTTCTCACTTTTCTCAGTATATCAAAACCCACTTAAATAATTTTTAAAGTAAATAACTAACCTCTTGAGTATAATTATATCCCGGAGGGTTTGATACAGAAGCTAAATTCACAGTGCGACCTTTTATAGAATTCTTTACGAAATCCAGCATCTGAAATATAAATAGAGGTATACTTTTATATTTAAGTTATTTACATACAAGCGATACGAACATAACGTTACTTAACTCGTCGAGTACCGGTTTTATAGACACAATTAAAGAACAATAGGTCGCGGTCACCGGTGACCGCTTGGTGTTTGACAGATTAATATACAGGTTCATAAAAACTTAATATACATGCTTTAGTTTTGACGGGGATATCACAGAAAATTGTAAATGTTTGAGTATTTTTAATTATCAAGAATAATATTATGACGTAGGTATGCTGTAATCTCCACACTTGACCAGCGTATTAGAGACTGCAGTTTAAAAGGTTGAGGTTTACCGTTCAGAGAACGCTGCTGTTGCCTGGTTTCTGTTAAATGTGCTGACCCTTAAAGCGTCACCGATTCATGGTAGATGTCCGAACCTCACTCACGAAGCGCTACGCATCAAGCTACCTTGTGCGTACTGCTAAGGAGCGGAATTCTTTGCCAAAGTCTGTATTTCCTGAACAGTATAACCTGGGTGTCTTCAAAGCCCGAGTGAAAAGGTTGCTTATGGGACGACGTGCTCCATCGTAGACCGCATCATCGCTTACCACCAGGCGAGATAGTGGTCAAACGTGAGCCAATCAAATATAAAAAAAACTTACGACATTTGCGGAAAAAGAAGAAGTATTTTACTTAAAAATTAAGTACTTAAATACTTTTTAAGTTTATGTTTTAGTATATACTCACCATATGCACATTGGTCTTATTCAAGTTGAATATTTGGCCAGAACTGGCTGCAGCGACTTGCTGGTACACTTTGTACGAGGGTCGCTTCAAATCGTTGCAGTGACCGGTTAGTATGAACACCACCTAAACAATATGTTTTGTATCTGTTATTTGCCAAAAAGGCCTTACGTAGAACAAATGTTTTTTTTTTAAATCTTTATTAATTTAGAGTCTTTTGATCACATAAAGACAATGCCAGACCCATCATTCCCTAAACAGATTTAACAAAACTTACATTAACTTAAATTCTACTCTTATTTACTATTTTATATAAAAAGATATCTGCTTTGGATAAAGGTTGTGACAATATACTATGGAAAACGCCAACATCTAATAAATTAATTCTAAACAAATGTTAGATACAATAAGTAGGTAGGTACAGTCAGTATCAAGAGTTAATGACCACATTTTGATTTTCAAAATCGCTGTACTTACATTATATCACACATAAACCGCTCAACAAGAAGGACGCCAGTATTGAATGAACATATTAAAGTTCAAAATTAACTGATCACTACTCGTCATACCTTCGTATTGTCCTTACGATACCTAGTACTAGTAAGTGTCATTAAGTCATAAGTTCCAGTCAAACTACATAAAAGACCGAGAGAAAGGTTACCGAAAATTACCGAACTCTGTTGTTGTTGTGTGAATGTGTAAATTTTTGTCATTGGATATTCGACTTTATTTCTATTTCTAAACGATAGAGTTGAAAATCTTATTTTTATTAAAGTAGGTAAATTTTTATTCCATAAGTTCCGATATTGAAATGATGTAGAAGCTTTCTTATAACTTAGAGTTAAGAAGTAGTAATCAGAGTTTTAGCTTACCTGACTCTGCTTTCGTTGTATAGCATCCAGTACTTTGCCAACAATGCGATGGTCGGTAGCGGTCGCGTCCGTAAACACGTAAAGAAATGACCTTGGTCTACTGACATTCAGAGCTAGCTGTATTCCCGTCAAAGACTTCTCAGGACAGTCACCTCCACCCTGAACATGGACCATGTTTAACGCTCTTTGGAACACCCTTTTATTCTTTGTCACTGTTACTGGGCCAACCACTGTGAAGAGAGAACATTGTTGTACAGAAGAGTCCCCATTTTCTGGTAGAACGGTTTTCTGTGGGCTAAGAGTCTGTGTCGTATAGGTAGGTAGGTAAATGCTTTTCTTTTCAGACTACTCTGAGGTATAATAAACTCTGTGAAACAGAAGTAACTGGGTACCAAGTTAACTACTTTCAGATGCCCATTAATATTTATGTTTTCTGATGTGATATCTATATACAATTTTATTTAACTTTAATTGCAGCTTTAGTTTCACATACTATTAGTTTATTTTGTTTGATTTAGTACATTTTTACGCCCTATATACTTAAAAATAGACCACTTAATCACAAATGGCATGCTCAAGGTCTAATATTACTACATTATACATATAAAAACAAGTAGGTAAGACTTACAGGGGTCATGGAACGGCACAAAGACAAAGTCAGCGATGACACCACTCTCCTGTAGAGCAGTATTCAGGATCATTTCAGCTCCCTCCCGTAGCTGTCTCAAGTCATTGTACATTGAACCAGTCGTATCGAAAATAAATGCCAAGCTACTCTTCCCACCATCTTTATCTTCAGTCGATCTCCTATTAACCTTCTTACACTCGATGCCAAATATGAATACACAAGTAATAAGGAGAAAACACTTCATTTTATGAAACATTTTTAACACTAACGCATTATGGTGTAAATTTAGCAAATACTCTTTTGTTCAGTGGTTCGTTTTATTGGACTTATCTGTAACCTCTGACCGAGTAATCAATGTGGGTTGGAGTAAGGAAATAATTTACTTAAGTACAATTATGTTAAGCATACTATATATTACATGATTCTGTGATCTCCTTGACCACTGTAATATGTATTTTAACACACATTGTCGCACACACACGTCTTTCATCTGTTTTCTTAAAACTATTGTAATTATTTATTATTGCTACTTTATCTACTGGCCGAGTAGATAGTGGTGGCGAAAGGAATGCATGCCGTGAGGCTAAATATGAGGTCGCAAAAGACTAGTGCACGAGGGATGACTTTGAGGGACCTTAACAGTCGGAGATTGTACTAGAATATGACTAATAGATAGCTATTTTAGATGGTTTTGTTCATATTGCACATAGCATCGGATAGGCTAGAACTTGGGGCCCAAGAAATACTTGACAATAAAAAATAAAACCAAGAATTTGCTCGACCCCTTTTTGTGACGATAGACAATCATCAAATGACGCCTGGCGTGGTGGTGACAAGGAGTGTCAGATATTTCCTGAACAAAAACTACCCCATTCGAACTCCTATCTTGTGTCCAGGCTTCGGCCCGCAACCATGTCAGTTCGACTTTACGATTATGATTCGTTCGTGATGACTTAAATTAGCAAATGTAATATTATAAAGGATATGTAGTTTATAATTAAACTCGTCAGTGTACATAAACTTTATCAATAAGGAAATAAAATAACACAATCTAATAATCTTGACGCAGCTGAAACTACTTTTTCAATGTAACTTATTGTATCTAATGCAGGAACCACGAGTAAAGTATTTACAAATATAGGTCAAACGGCTTTTTAGGTATATCTAACTGGTAACTCTTATATCGGAAAGAACTGCTCAACACAAATACCGATTTTATCAGACAAGCGCATTATTCATTCTAGGATGTAAAACATATATCGTCACGCCGTTTATGCCCGAAGGGGAAGGCCGTATGGCACATTCCGGCACGTAATGTTACTGTATAATGTAAATTTTTATGGGATAAGCCGGTAAACAAGCCCTTTTTTAAGGATTAGGGGATTGTGGAGATTGGGCGGAGGAAAGATATTTGGGCCTCCTTTAACCTGACTCACACGACGAAACACAACGCAAGCGTTGTTTCACGTCGGTCTTCTGTGGGGCCGTGGTATCACTCCGGTCGAGCCGGCCCATTTTTATCGACACATATAACTGCGAAATAATTAAAGTGTTTGTATACTGTATACAATATTATTGAGTTTGTTAACATAAAAGGTATTTAAGCAAACAAATTTTAAAAATAAAATCTTTATTCAAAACTCACACTTGACATCTGTATAGAAGATATTCTGTTCTTAACTTAAATACGAAAAACAACCTAATCACCTAGAAACTAGGTCTTAGACTATTGCTCAAATAATGCTTTACACATTCATACATAGAAATAATGCTTTGCGTGGAACATAAATTATTTGAAAATGTTGAGAAATTCCAATGTCAAAATAGTTTTAAAATGAGTATCCACAAAGTGACGTTCACGTTTACATTATGGATAAAAAAAAACAAAACATGAGTCCTAAATTGATTGATTGATATTAATTTTGATTGATGATCATACCAGTATTACCAACTTTCTTGCGAAACAAAATGAAAACAAGGACGTCAAAATTTACGGTTTGGTGCAGCTCTGTCCATTTCTTTAGTAAGATGGTTTCCAAATTATGTATTTCCACACAAAGCAGTAATAAATATGGACAGTTTACACGGCAAGCCTTTACAAGACATCAGAGGCCTTAGTACGAGTTTAATTTACGTTTAAAGTATTCGAAACGAGTATGCGTTCGGCACTCTGATTGGCCGGCACCAGAGAAGCAACCAATCACAGCGCCGAACAAGTACTCGTTACGATTACTTTAAACGTAAAACATACTCGTACTAAGGCCTCGGTATCGAGCACAGAACATTATACTACAAATGTTTATGTATATGTTGAAATGCATTACGTTCGGAGTTGTTGTTTCATACCTACATTAAAATATTATCTTTAAGACACTACTTTTTCTACATCTAAAATTTATGATAATTAGTCTTCAAAAAGGTTTTACAATAGTTTTCAGAGTAAAAAATAATATATGAATGGTAGAAATAAAACAACAAAAAACTTGACAGCAACTACAGTGTTAAAATATGAATAAAGACAAAGAGATCTTAAAATACTTGTGTCTTTACATTTTGAGCATCACTAAAATACATAATAATATTTAAAAAAAATCTAATATTAAAATTACATTTACGTAAAAAATTAAATCATAATAATGTATTGCATTTAAAATCCGTAGACATTCAATAACTATTCATTTAAAAATTCCAATTAATTAAAAAGATGTTTTATAGGCGCCCACTTCAAGCAGAGGCAACATAGCAAAGAAGGCGTTAATTTGTAAGTATTAAATTATATATTTGAAATTGAACTTAGATTTCTATTGCACATAGGAAGATATATGCATCTATTACAAACTGCCTGTAACATTCGTATATAGAGGTAAACAAAAAAACAAATTGATACACCTTTACTTGATGGTGATGATTCTTAAATCTAGAACAATGTTATCTCGGTGGATGCAGTGATTTCCTCAAAAATGTCAGATGAAAAACAAAAACTGTCTAACAAAATAAATATGGGCCCGACTAAAAATATACAAAACGGTAGATTATATAAGATAATATGTACGATAAAACTGTTTAGGGAATGGAAGGTGCAACATGGCCTTAAATTAATGAGGTATTATTACATACAATATACTCGCCATGACGCATAATAGTTCATGCAAGAATGATTATTTTAGCTAGAATAACGTACTGTGGCCAGCAAGTCAAGTTATACCTTTCTGTCAAATTTGTCCTTCTAGTTAGTTGTATCTTCAACTTTATTGTATTGCTATAATGTCGAAAATACAATAAATAAATTTGTCAGATCGGAGTATGTCGGTCCTGCCGGCTGGCCACTGTACATAAGACATAGGTAGAGGTACACTATTATACAAGTCAATAAGTACCATACAAGTATGATATTCGACCGAGTGGGTATAAATAAACAAAATTGAGTATAAAAGTATATATTTTTAGTCGGGCATAGCACAAAATATGTTAGTATCATTACACATTATGAATAACTTTGGCAAGCATATAAACTACATAAAAAATTGTTTACTATTTGTACTTGCATACTGCAAATATCAGTCATGGATATAGTGGGTAATGGGTAGACTGTATTTACGATTGTCTTCGGAACACATTTATTTTTTATGGAATAAGTCGGCAAACGAGCAGCAATATAAATCATCTGATGATAGCCAATGGGGGCTACCGTTTCTCTCACTAGATGGCGGATACGTCGGTTCAAATTTTGTGTCACAATTCAGTGGTGTGACACTAGCTAATTGTCTATTGGACAAAGAACGAGAGGTTTACGTTAAACGCCATTTAGTGAGCAAAAAAACGGTAGGCCCCATTGGTGTCGCCAATGAACACTAGCTGGCTTTTGGGAATTGGGCTTGGAGACAGGATACAATACCATATCGAGATGTCATAATTAATTGATACAACGATTTTGATATGACTACAATATATCCATACTCAGTATGTAAAACAAAATGTACGCCTTTACAATCATAATAGACATTACGACGCAAAGGAATGTGGAGTTTGTCTGTCACAAATACATTATACTTGTGTTTGAACGAAGAATTATGAAGAAATTAAGATTTTCGACTTGTTTTCTCCTTCATAAAAATTTTTCAAAGCTTAAGTATAAACTGTTTTTTTTTATCCGAAAAATGATAAAATACTCATAAAATGGAAATCATATAAGCTTATCTTACATGTCATAATTATGTATGTAAAGTAGTCATATCGTCTGCTTGTGTTTTTCGTTAGAAAATGTGTTTTATTTATTAATGAATATGGTTGTGGAATTAGTGCTATAGTATAAACTATTCATGTACAATATACTATTATATAATTTGTATAAGTTTACAATTACGTATAAAATACATTATAAATTGTAAATTTTCTACTCCGAACACATTTTATGGGTAACAATCCCATAGTAAAATAATAATTAAAATTTAATTTAATACCAAAATCCAATTAATTACTTATATCCGAATTATAATTCGAGTCAATAAAATTATAATGAAAATCGTGAGTCGTCTAAAGTTCGAATTTAATGTTTTGCGATAGCATCGTTAGAGGTTCTTTATATACCAACTACTGTTTATAAGCATAGACTTGCTCACGAAGCTATAAAAACTTCTTTACACTGTACCCGGATTTTTTTTAAATCATGGGCGACGACAATGTTCTCGTTGATGCAACAGATCCAGGGAAACTTGTTGCAACACGTTAATGCCCAATGGCACAATTTCCAAGTTATCAAAAATCTGATACATGGATTTTGGCACGTCAATACTTCGTCTTTAAAACTTCACATGATTCTTTACGATCATTGAAAACAGTCTATGCATATAATCGGCCTTGCACTGTTATGATCCTTGTTCGTTTATCAATAAGATTCATAACAGTGTGCAGGATTTGTGTAACTACGTCGTTATAGAATTGGGTCTACTAACATGAACACGGGGTGATGTCCGTGGGGGGTTAGACGACGTCATCGGCAGCTACTTTGGGTGGAGTTTTCGCTTTTTGGTATATCAACAAGTTTTCGCTGACCTCGCCTTCAGGGAACTGGAAAAGAATACAAAGACAATTGTAAGTTTCTCGTTCATTGCACTTGGAGCAGATGTTTAAAAAATGCAGAAGCAAAATGTATTAAATTTGATAGAGACCTGTGTGTGGGGAATCTCATGCAACAAGTTGTATCCGGTGAGAATTGATTCGATGCGTCCCTTGAGTCGGTCGTAGAGTACGAGCAGGTCGGGCGCCTGTCTCAATGCAGTTTCCTGTCGCCACCACCGCTGCGGGTTGTTGAAGAATGTCTCCGCCTCGTACGTCGTGCCCGACGCATTCAAGGGGGGCTCGCAGCTCAGGTAGCGCGTCGTTATGTTCAGGTGTAGGTGACTGGCATTACACAAATACATGGTATATTTAGGAACTGTATAACAGAGAATAAACAGCCGCAACTAATGGATATAGCAAGTTGCAAGTAACCACTAAGAGAGAATTTACTTTAATCGGGTAGTATCCTGGGTCAAAAATAATTTATTTGGATTTTTCACTTTAATTAAATATTGAAAAATAGTATAAACTTTCATTCATTGGTTTGACGATATACTTAATTTTCGATTTATCTTAGCATTTTTTTTTAGATATAAGTGTGCTATTTGACACGAAAATATGATGACGTCATAAGATGGTATTTCGTACAAAATTCAAACAGTATCGTTTTTGACGTTTCGATAAAAGTATTGAATTTGACTAGTTGTCAACTACCGTATGCCCTTTTGTACAAATATAGTTTTTTTTACTTCCGCTTTACAAACAAATAAAACGGCTAAAGAAAAATAAGACTTAAATTGCAAGTACAAAGGTTAAACTGAGTCTTAGTTTGTTATAAATAAATACATTGAATACAATATCTACCTGTAGAGAGGCGTAGAGTGGCACGGCATGAGGAAGGTGATAGAGGTCCTGTTGGTGGCGGTCTGGCGCAGCGCCGGCATGGCCTGCAGCGGGCCCGCCTGGTGCACCACGCCGAAGTACAGCGCCGGCACCGCGTTACCCACCAGGATGGAGCCCGCCAACAGGTACAGGTGGAATCTAGACCAAATACATTCATCTTCATTAGATACACAAAATAGTGCAAAAATTGGTAGAACATTTGTGGGGAGTCGAGTATGACCATTGGTAGTTATAAATTCCGATATTAAAATCGTGCCTAGCCAGTTAAACGAGCAGTCGAATCACCTAATGGTAAGCAATCGGCATTGTCCATGGACACCTGGAACACCGTAGGCGTTATAATTGCGTCACCGGTCTTTTGGGGATTAGTAGTTTGATGGTCGTTGGGGATTCAATAGGGGAGATTGGGGAAGGGGGGCCGTATTATTGGGGCACATAATTCGCCTTACAGGTATGTGGAGTGACAATATCCGTTGCTTAGCTGGGTTTAGTTATCCAACCTTGCATCCGCAAGGAGCTGAAAATCGAGCTATGCTGCGCTATTGGATAGTATTGATTTGTGTTTAAGTAATAATGAAGTGGTCCCTTACTTCTTAGCCTTCCTGCTCCATGGTACAATCACGTCTTGAGCCAAATACAGGAATATCGGTAGCAGCGGCAACACAAATCTGAACTCTTTGTGTGGAATGAAGCTGTAACCAATAAAATACAGAATGATTAATGGAATACTTTTTTAAGTACTGTCTTGTCTGTCGAAGTCAGTAAATTGTATGCGCCTAATGCCTAATTAATTAACCTTTTCGCCGCCCAGCTATACTAAACACGATGTGTCGCCGTACGCCAACGTATAAATGTATAATAAATGTATAGTACGAAAGTAGGGATGGCGGTAACATCATGTCGATAATGAAAAAAAATATGTGTAAATTTAAATTGGTACTCAAATTTACAATTAAAAATACAAACTGTTAAGTTATAATGGTAATTTGTTTTATTTTATGAACATTTATACTAAGAAAAATGGGTATCCGTTATCAGAGATGAAGATACATGCATAGAGTTGCTAGAGATAATAATAATAATTCGTAACATTAGCCACTTCACTATTCATTTCATAACGTAGTCTGTTTACTTCATATCAAGTCATTGGCGTTCAAAGCACGATACATTTCGTAAGGAATAGTTGTCTATGCTTTTCTTTCTTTCTATCGAGTTTGGTTTGCTTTTGGTTTTAGTTTACATTTAAAATCTAACGTCAGGTCACGATCAGGAACATTGTTTGTAGTGATTAAAAGTGGCAACATATGTGTAGTTTTGGAAATGGATGGTAAGTAACTATTTTAATACAGATGTACTAAACTTTAATAGCTTATTTTTCATTTAATGCAAATGAAAAACTGGCACGTTTGATGGATATTAGGTAGTCATAAATACCTATTCGTTGCGGCTCTCGGTTTCGCAAACTTTTAGCTGTGTCGGCGAACAAATATAGACCTGAGTCGATCACAAATTTTTCGCGACCCAAACAGTTTGTAATCGAATCAAAATGACTCAATCATTTGGATATTTCATAATCATGAAAATAATTATAGGTATAGGCCGTGCGATTAATCGATTAAGTGCGATTGCGTGCGTGCACGCGTCGCCCGGAACTATGACACAATGACCTTGACGCCTAAGCGCTTACGACGTCACAGGTTTACTTCTATTGAAGTTGACGGCGCTAGTGTCACTCGACATCTTGCCATTACGTAGAGATGGGTCTAGCAATATCGAAAACCCTCAGTACATAATAATTAATTTTAATGAAATGATTTGATAGGTAGATGTACATTAATTTTGAAACGCATTGTAATACGTTATTTACTGACCGGAATTTCTTTTTATTCATAGAATTCAAAAAACTATTGGATGGAAAAGAAAACAAATATTATAGTAAATAAAGATTCTAATGAATGCTCCTTACGCGTCACATCACTGGCCTACTTGATATGAAGTCGTTGGCGTGCGGGATATAAAATTATTTGAAACCTTTTATGTTTTACCTTTTTAAAACAGAAAATAGTCTGTTTTGCATGAGAAAAAATAGTTCGTCGTGTCCATATTACAAAATTACAAAGAAACAAATGTTTTATGTATCGTAAATGTATTTTTTATAGTAGGTAGATACAATGAACTTCTATAGAAGTAGTGGCGTGGACGGCACGAAAATCCTGAACTTCTATAGAAGTTGTTGGCGGCGAAAAGGTACAGACTGATACATATTTATCAGTTATCACATCAAAAAAATAATTATAAAAAAATATTAAGCAATTGCATTTAATATGACTGATAGCTACTTTCTGCACCGAAACAACTATTTTAAACCTTATACACATAGGAATAAGTATCATACCTGTATACAGCTACGTATAAAGCGACGGCGGTTAGAAGCAGGCTTCCGATTTTGTTCTCCTTTGGTCGTCGCAATATTTTCACAGTGGCCCACAGTACAGGAATCACGTTGATACCCAAAACGGCTGGAATACCTTGAGTTAAGTACCAGTGCCTGGAAAAGAATAAAATTATAGAAGTAATCAGCAATCTAATTGAATAGGAATCTTAAGAGTGTGAATGTATAGTATAGTAATTTAATTTACACTAAAGTTTCATAAACACATGGTAATAATTACCATAAAACATTAATAATTTTAATCCTATTGTTGCCAGATGTCACTGGTTATCATATTTACATGTCAATGACCTCAAGTGGTAACTGGTTTATTTCATTATTTGTCTCATGTTGAACTTTTTAATATTACCCTATGTTCTTCTTACTGAGTTTTCGTGCCTTTTATTCCTGAATTATAAATCCCAAATGTCGAGTGCATAGTCGGGCACAATTCCAGGCCCAATAGTATTACTGAGAAATTTTCGAATACAACAAAATGAAAACAATAAGGCAATATATGCCTGACCCGAGATATTGCTCGCAGTCGACCTACGATACAGCATACATAAGTATCAGTAACATACTTAAACATGACAATCATCAAAATCTCACCATGGATGTTGTCCGTAGAAAGATGCGATGTCGTGCAGTACATTGAACCTGAAGAACTCCCAAGGAGTGACGATAAGGCGGCCATAATAGTACGAGTCCAGGGCTACGAGGGCGCCACCGCAGATCAAACTAAAACAACAATTTTCATTAGACACTTATCAGAATAAATAATTTAATGTAATAAATAAGTAGTAATAATTGCGTCGCCTCAAACTAAGATATTCTCCTGTATTGTGGGTGCGTTTACAAATATGACAATGACCAATTCCACATGATACCCAAGCCCAGAATAACAATTTGTGGATCATACATTTGGTAGGATTAAGTCTATAATTTGTGAAGATTTAATTAACATAGCGTAATTCTAGGAATGTTTAGTTAGTTCTTCTTCACATTTATTTCTCCTTTATTTAAGGTTGTCTCTAAGCTACGGTAGTTTAAATGACTTACGCAATAGGCACGTATGTGCGAAGAACAAGCTTCATTCGGCTCTGGTTGGTGGTTAGCAAGTTGTAAGCACCGAGTACCGCCCACAATGGTGCTGAAGTCGGACGCAAGAACACGCACAATACTGCCAGCCATATCCACTTTGGACTCTCTGTATAAAATAAAAAAAAACTTGAAATACGTTTTTTGTTGCTGCGCAGTTGAGAACTCAAATCAACTTTAATCAAAGGTTGAATGAAATATTTAGGATTTAAAGAGATAAAAGACTTAAACTACACTTCTTTATACTGTTTGTAAGAAGGAAACAGAACAGGATAAACAGGTTCAGGGTATTCATTGGACTGATAAAAAATCATCTATTCATGTAGTGCATAAGGAAAATGTTGTTTTGATATTGTTATTGTTTAATTAACTCGTCGAGTACCGGTTTTATAGACACAATTAAAGAACAATAGGTCGCGGTCACCGGTGACCGCTTGGTGTTTGACGGATTAAAGGCCATAAAAATCTAAAGAATAAGTTCCTCTAAACGAAACTCTCTCTGTATCAGTAAAAGTCTGTGTCAAATAATAAAAAGTTTGCTACTAAGATTTACCTTGTTCATAGTGTCCCAATTTTCCACCTTTGAATGGGAACTCAGACAAAGCGATGGCAACAAGAGAAGTTTCTAATGTCTGCAATAAAGTTCTACCGGAGGTATAGAACCAGAACCATGATGTAAGTATCAGGAATAAAGCCCATTTTCTATTGCCAGTCCATTTGTAGAAACTGTAATCAGCCGCAGCACTGATAATAGCTTGCAGGATGCGAGGCAGGAGAATCTATAAAACATTTTTCACAAAATTATTTTTCCAAGGGTTGCTATTCAAACAGGATGTATCACACTTTATTCCAATGTAGATACATTCTAGACCAAGGAGGTAGGATCTTTGATTTGCTTTTTTTGTCACCCGTCAACCAATGAAATAATATAGAAAATAGACATATTATCAATGACATACGTAACAATGTTGCCATGAAACTAGGTGTATATTGTATTACAAATATAATTTGCTTACTCGTGTTACAAATACAGTGTAAGCTTACAATCATACAACTGTCTAAGGTCCAGTGGGTGTGATTTACAGAAATTAGTAATCTTTATAATGTATCCATACCTGGTGAATGTGTGACTATAAATACATTGTAATAGATAAGTAAGAAAACAACAAAAGAATCAATTTACTATTTTTGAATACTCCAATAATGAATTTTTTTATTGTGCTTAGTCACTACGGTTTTTCATGAATGTTCGATTTAATGACTGATTGATATCTTTTGCTTGGTCATGGTGACAATTTTCAAGCCAGCCATAGGTTTCTATAAATGTATTGTATGTTACATATGCTTACCAGAGCCTCAGGATAGTCCAGTCCAGTGTACTTCAGAAGGGTGTAAAGTCCAGCTACTATACTTGGGTACAGGTAGCTCCTGATGCCTTGATGCCATTCCCAGGTCAATGCTCCATAGCCAAAGACTTGTTTATGTGCCACTTCCAAAGTTTGCCAGTATTCATCAGGCACATACCACGTTTGAACCAGGAATACTGACAAAAGTCTCACGAATAATATCACAGAGACCACCTGTAGTGGCCTCAGGCCCTTTGCCAACACCATTCTCCCGCCTAAATGGAAAGAGGTTACATGTGAATTGGCTATAAATAGAAAAGTATAATGTAGTAACTTTGAAACCATAAAATATCAAATAAATATTATCACATTACACAAAAAAATATACTAAAACATTGTTCCTATTGGAAATCTTCATATTGATAACTTTATCAGGCGAAACAAACTTAGCACAGAAAAATGTCAACTAACGCGTCCTATATATTAGCATCGAATTGAATGAACGGTAGTGTTTTAACGTATTGCAAAGATGTATCAGATTTCCCTGATTGTATTTAAAGCTTGTTTATCAATTGTTTTAGCTAAAAACATAGATATAAACATTTTTTCGTAATTATTTCACTAACCTCAACAAAACCCGCCGCCACCGCGAAGTAGTGCTGTACTGTGTAAACTTTTAATCAAAACTAATAATCTATTACTATTTATTAAAATAAACAACTTCTAGTCCCACTTGTTATCATTCTTCTTAATTTAATCAGTACATAAATAGTCATTTTAATCTGATGATTTAATTTCTTATAATATCATACGATTCTTAGAATAGATGTGTTTTTGAATATCATACCAAGCCTGCTAAAACATTTGCGTCTTTTTATTCGAAAATAACAGTAAGTATTTGTTTTTTTATCGTGGCGTTTTACTTATTGTGTGGATAATATTGACCTCCTTAATATAAAGCAATATTTTTTAAAACTATAGTCGCTTGCATATTTTAAACTAATCTATATAATTATTCGACTAACGAATAACTTTACTCAGTAAGGAACATCACTATTCACGTCAACTGGTTCGTTTGGGTTACGTTCGAAAACCATGACCTCTATTCAGAGTTTTAGGCGTGGCGGAAAATAAACTTTTAATAATTTTTATTCTGCTTTACAGAAATAATCAAATATAAAAGATAATAGGATTTTATAAAATATTAAGTCATCACATTTTTACTAGTTGTAATTAGATTGAAGAATGAGTTCTTTGGATATTTGCTTGGATTTGAAATAATACAGGTTGTGAACGTCAATTTACGAATGTTGATTTTGTTGGGAATTTGCTTTACTTGAATCTTTTATAATAATATTTAAATTAAGATGTCCTATTAGTTTGAAAATGGGTAAGTATAGCAAATCAAGATATAAAAATTATACCAGCACAGTTGTTTGCTCTTATTATTTGTTTGTAGATGAGGCAAAAAATGAAACCGTCGACCTTTCGAGGCGTGGGTTGAAGAAAATAGAGAAAGCGCCCGCAGAGGAATCCAAGACGATTATTAATTTAATACTCGACCAAAATGAGTTGCAAAGACTAGATAATATTGACACATATAATCGTGTCGAAAACGTAAGATACCTAACTTTTATGTCCACTACCAAAATACATATTGTTAATATTTAGTCACGTATTTTAAAATTTTGCGTTATAATAACATTTAACGTTGTAATATTTAGTGAAGAAATAATCTTAGTTATGCATGATAATTTATTGTAGACTTTCTAAATATCATACTTATACAATCAATGACATTATTTTTGTTTTCTAGTTATCAATTTGCAACAATTTCTTATTACGCATGCATGGCGTATCCCGGTTGACGAACATTCGAATCCTAGCTTTGAATAACAACGGCATACTGCAAATAGAGGGCCTCAAAGATCTGATTTATTTAAAAGTACTGAAACTTGCAGGTATGTTTGTTCATCTCATTATTTGTTGCTTTCTCAAGACATATAAACATCAAAACATACACAGATAGAACTTATAGTGGGTTCAGAGAAGTTGAGAGATTCTTGTAAATTATTTGTATATGGAATAAAGTTAAATTAAGATGAATGACCAAAATACATTTAAACATGGAGTCTTAAAATACCGTTCCATATAAGTTTTGATTAGTGCTTACCTACCTATAAAAATTATATAAATTGCTTGAATAGTCCTGTCGCTACCTGCCTCGTTTTGGATCTTCATCCTACAACATTACTCTTATTAGTGAATATTTGAACTATAGGTTTAAACTATAGGTTTTATGACCTATCTAATATTAATTAACTGAACACGGCTTATCCAACATTCCCAGGATAAAAATTACTCCTGGTATTAGTATATACTATAATCTGGTATAGACTATAATCTAGTTCTCCGCAATTCATTCAAATCTGTCCAATAGTTTTTTGTGAATGAGTAATAAAAATAGACCTGTACCTTCTCATAAACTTTCGTATTTATAACTAATACTAGCTTCTGCCCGCGCCTTCGTACGCGCAGTCTCGTTTTCTCCCGTTCTCATAGGATTATCAGATTTTTTTCTGTCGTAAAAACCTTCTCCAGACAATAACAAACACAACAAAAGAAAGATCAGCGAAATCAGTGTAGCCATTCTCAAGTTATGGTGTGACAATGTGGAACGGGTTTCATTTTTAGATATATAGATTAGTACGACTAGCTAGTTATTACACAAATTAACAACAACTTCAACATTCGGTCACTGTGTATGTAATGTATGTGTGTAATGTCCACTTGAAAGCCAACATTTATCAAGTTAATGGTGTAAAATTGTAAATAAGTCAATAATGAATTGAAATATATTTCACTCATGTCTTATTTATGCTATGTTAAATATTCCTATTTTCACTAATATGGTATGGAATCTCTGTTTCATATTCACAAAGAAAATCAATATAAGTGAACACAAATCACTCAGTATAAGACAGAATAGTCATTCAGTAAAACTAGTTGTCATTTTATATTACCTATGTTAAGATAGGTTTAAATACAAATATCAACTTTTAAGCATAGTAGTTCACAATATATATTATCAGCTACATAAATTAACTTTTAAATCCACCATTACGAAAAAATCACAACATTTGTTCATACAAAAGTAATTTCTAATCATCGGAAATAAGGTCTATAATGGATTAATTGGAGAGTGGTCATCAGTGACCACTTGGGGTATTTTATAGTAATTGTGTCCTTATTTGTGAAGAAAAAAGATTCATAGATTAAACTTTATTTCACACTAAAATGTGAACTAGATATAAGAAAAAAAATTAACTTAAAACAATATTTAATTTCAATTATTTACTAAACAACTTACATTGTGTAAATGTCTTCATAATCATAAATTACATTGCTATATAAATTTAAGCTTCCAAGTAATATCACACAAGAAATCATTTTGAAAATACATAAAAGAACAATTTAACTCGTCGAGTACCGTATTTATAGACACAATTAAAGAACAATAGGTTGCGGTCACCGGTGACCGCTTTGTGTTTGACAGTTTAAATAATAATAAAAAGAGAAATAACGTAATTGGTTATGTAATTTATTTCTTTTTATTTATGTATGTATCTTTTAAAATAAGGATAGATAATAATGACTAAACTTAATCTTTTTCTCAAGCCCACCAATTTCATTCATTCTTTTCTACTTGATCATGAGATTGAGATTGATGACATGCATTTAGGTATTTTTAAGACATCCAATGAGATCATCACAGATAAAGTCTGGGCCTTATATTATGAGATCATACAAAGGTGTTAAATGTTTATTGTCATTGAAGTAATCACATCCATGATTTTATTTAATACAACCTAAGTGTGTGATTTGATTACGTAAGATGATAAGAAAATAAAAGGAAAAAGTATGGAAAAGGACTAATGTCGCATTTCTTGTAATAATGACTAATTTTAATATGTAAATTCTAAGTTCTTTATTCTGGTTAGGCGGGGCTTATAATATATACCCGTATATTCCCAAGCGGTCACCGGTGACCTTTCTCTACTAAGTACATTATAGACCTTATTTCCAATGTTTAGAGACTACTTTTGTATGGACAAATTTAGAGAATGATTTTCAACAACTTTCAACAGGTTTATATATATAGAATGTATATTTTATATACTTACTAGCTTCTGCCCGCGAATTCGTACGCGCAATCCCGTTTTCTCCCGTTCCCGTAGGATTCACAGGATTTTTTGTCTTTAGAACCTTCTCCTCATAATAACGGAAAAAGAATTAGTGAAATCGGTACAAGCCATTCCCGCGTGCCGTGCCGCGTTGCCGTGACCAAGGGAATAAAGGATTAATTTTTATATATAGATTTAGATTTATTTTTTTATCAGTTGGTTTATTAATAACATTTCATTATTATTATGTACGTCTCTACCATTCACGGGACCACAGGGTCCCGGTCCCGGTCATTTGGGAGGCGTACGAGGGCCCGAAGCCAAATGCGCAGAGGCTCTTTAGACAACTTTAATGTAAATGTAATTATAATATTTTTGCTTCAAGCTAACCCTTTAATTTTATTTCAGGAAACAATATAAAATCAATAGAACATTTGAATCACAATATGCACTTGGAACACTTGGATTTGTCCAACAATCAAATTTCTTTTATAGCTGATATATCTTACTTGAAGAGTTTGAAGGTGAGTGTATCAGAATGACATAACATAACATCACGCCTTTTATCCCCGACGGGGTAGGCAGAGGTGCACATTACGGCACTTAATGCCACTGTACCTACCATGTAACACCCACTTTTCACTATTTTATGTTATGAGGTCCATGCAATAGGCCTATTGCCATATACTGGGCACGTTTCCAGGCTCCGTGCTACCACTGAGAATAAAAAAAAATCCAAGTAGTACTTTGCCTGATTCGGGAATCGACCCCGAGACCTCTTGCCCGGCAGTCGCATTTGCGACCACTCAGCCAACGAGACAGTGATGATTTCATGTTACGTATCAGAAGACCAATTTAACATTAATAATATAAATAAAGTAATTGGCGCCGGTTTACCTTCACACAAGTAACCGACGTAGTAAACATGTGAAAGTTCATTCATACAAGTAACAGTCTCAATTCTAACTAGCTACTTGCGCGCGGTTTCACCTGCTCTGTGGGACTCTTATTGATCGTAGCGTGATGTTTATTAGCCTTAATAATTTTTCAAATCGGACCAGGAGTTCCTGAGATTAGCGCGTTCAAACAAACAAACAAATTCTTCAGTTTTGTATAATAGTATAGATTTATCTAGTAGATAGTGGCTCTCCAGAAATTGTCAATTAGGCCCTTGATATGATTTATAATTATAATTTAATTAACTGTAATACAATTCTTTTTTTCAGCACTTAAATCTAGAAAGGAACAGAATATCAGATCTGCGGCAATGTGATCGCTACCTTCCTTCGCACTTAGAGCACCTGGGACTCGCTCACAATAGCATCCAGGATTTGAATGAGATCAGTCACTTGGTACATTTGAACAAACTGGAGAGCTTCTCAATACAAGGCAATCCATGCGTCGCCATGGCTGGCAAAGACAAATTGTATCCTTTTTGTCAATTAAACGTGTTTTTTTATGGAATAATCCGATAAACGAGTAGACGGATTGGACTACCTGATGATAAGCAATCATGGCCGCCAATGGACACCTGAACCACCAGAGGTGTTATAAATGCGTTACCAGCCTTTTGGGGATGATTGGGGAGTGGTGTAATTAGGCCTCCGTTACTCTCTGTTACCTTAAAGGCTTTTATACCATTGGTACTCTACTATAGAGTCTATAGAAACTGCCGGGGTCGCGGGGTTTTTTATTCACAATTTATGTAAATATGATGAAGGGTATTCAATATCGTATTGGTGACTACACCACAAAGTGCTAATTTACCTTTAAATAAATTAAATATTGTACGATCCTTGACTCGCCAAACAGAGGATTTGATTACAGACCATTTGTTCTCAACTGGATAATGAGTGTTAAGTCTATAGATGGCTTTGTCGTCAGCGCTATAGAAAGGTAATATTTTATCTAAGGTTAATTTTTTGTAAAACAATGTCTTACTAGCTGGTGCCCGCGATTTCGTAGGCGTAGAATATCATACGGATTTAATTAATTAATCGGGATAAAAGTATCCTATTACCTAAGTCAGCACATACCCTGCCTTTTTTTTGAGGGGGGAAAATCATCCAATTTTAAAATCATCCATGAAAATCAACTTCTCCCGCCCGGGTGAGGCGAGAGGGAGTGTCAGACTCTTACTGACTAAAAATCACCCCGTTCTTACTCCTGCACTTCGAGCCGGAGCCCCGGCAACCCGTTTAGTCTTCCGCGGCTCCGTATCGGCATCAGCCCTGTTGGACCCCATCTGTGGTGGTCTGATGAGCACATACCCTGCCTGTATATTAAAATCCGTTCAGTAGTTTCAACGTGATTGACGGACAAACATCCAAACAAAGTAACTTTCACATTCGTAATATTAGTGTGATTGAAATGTAGTTTTTCAATCCAATAATACATTTTTAAAATTAGCTTTTTTAAATAACGAATACTTTTCTGTATTGTAATTAACTTAAGGTTATTTTTAGATTAAAAGTTTCTTATACGAACAAACCAATTATTTAATTCATAATATTTTTCAGTCTAAAAGCGGAGTGGTTGTACAGTCAAGGTAAGGGGCGACACTACCACGCGGGGCAACACCAAGAGTTGTGTGAATATCTCGCGTCTACCTGCCCTCTCACAGCCGACGCCTTGGAAACAGAAGACCAGAGGAAACTACGCCTTATATTAAGCAAAGTAAGGTTCAATAACTGAAACAATATCACACGTCATTTCTTACGTTTTGTAAATTAGGTTAGATGGCAAATATCTACTATAGATACATAGCTTTAGTCTAAAAACTAGTCTTCAGAAATATTGGCAATGGGCTCACCCCCTATTACATGGGGTACAGTGGCATTGAGTGCCGTGATGTGCACGCCTGCCTACCACTTCGGAGATAAAAGGCGTGATGTTATGTTACATATTATTTAGCTGACGTAATCTTGATCAAATGTAACTGTATATTGTATGCAGGCGCAGCATCATCAGCAGCAGTTGAAAGACACACAAACACACAGTCCGTTGAAGCCAAAGTTGCAGTCACCGAGAATGCAATGTAAGTGCTTATTTATTTAATAAAACTAAAAATCGCGGGTTACTCACGTGAATATGATAAGTGGGCTGCGCGACATCGCCGCGACCACGCACGCTGCTCATGAGGAAGAACCCCTCTGTGGTTCGAAACTAGTAGAGCTTTTTTCAGTATATTCACGTGAGTAACCCGCGATTTTTAGATAATTTAGTATGTGTAACGATAGTTTTTCACTTCATTTCTCTGCACTTCCCTATGGTTGACTGTAAGAGAATGCCTTACGGCATTAAATCCGCCATTCACTGTTGTTTTCTGAAGAAGATATAAATAATTAGTTATTATAAAAACATGCTTATTTATTTAAATTTTAAACTTTATTGCAAATACACTGTGAAATTGGCGGATTTAGTGACTTATTTATTTACTATGCATTTATGTACCTAATACATGCGTTCCCGGGATATATACCTACCTGATTTTATTTAATTTTATTCAAACTATAATCAATCTAATAATCTAAGTTTAGGTATCCTCTCGACAACGTTTCCCATCACGTATTAGTAATTTATTTACATAAACGAATACATTAATTTTATTTTAGGAATAGAACTTACCTGGTCATATCATCATCACTCTTTACCTTTTTCTGTCCTGTAAATCTCTTTACCAATGGGCTGGCTCGACTGGACTTATATCGCTTAACGCTTGTGTTGTATTTCACCGTGTGAGTGAGTCTGCCAGAGAGCCAGTTCTTTTCCGGTTCACCTCTGATCTCCAAATGCCGTATCCCTAAAGGGCCGGCAATGCACTCGTAACTCCTCTGGTGTTGCGGGTGTCCATCGATTGCTTACCATCTGGTGATCCGCCTGCTAGTTTGCCCGTCTTACCATTAAAAAAGTCTCGATCTGAAACGAAAACAACTTACATGCTAACTCGTAAACGACGTTTTAAATAAATAATTCATCAAAAAAGTATGTAATGTAGAGAATTTTTGAAATTTTAATTGACCTGTTTTTATTGAAAATTATGTATTCGAGGAATGTGTGAACTGTGAACGAGAATTAGAAGTATTGTAACTGGTTTAAATAATTAACTTGATTCTCGAATTGATAATTACATTTATTAACTTTCATAGCAAAGTTAATAGGCTTGATATTTAATCAACTGTATAAATAACTTCCAGCTCGGATATCCACGCCGCGGCACATGGGTCGATCGCCCGACCGGCTGACTTCAAGTTACCATGCAGCTTTGACCAAGTCCTCGTCTCCTTCACATCAGATGTCTTCCTCACTCTGTGGAGACTTGTCTGGCATTCCTACCGCCATGAGCCAGAGCTTTGACTCCCCCTCTATGATGTACTCAGCGGAAAAAAGAGACAGCACTAAGGAAAAGGAAAAAGAAAAAGTTCAAGGTATATTCAGCAACCTCCCAATTTATCTATTATATTGATTCTATTCTAGACTAACAAACTAACTTTGTTTACAGAAATACCGCAACCAAAGCCAGTGAATCATTCATTAGAAGCTGCATCGAAAATGGTGCCTGTACCTGAATCTCTGATGAGTCCCGACTACCAGGACCCGATTTACGATATCCAAAGATCTATACCAAAGACCAACAACTCCGTGCATAGTGTTTCCAACACTTCGTCACAGTCGAGCAACAGTAGTATCCACGAAGACAAACCAAGGCACGCTAAAAACATGAAAGGGTCCCCGAAATTACCAAAGAGTGCTACTTCATCACCAAAGCTTAAAACTAGGATGGAGCAAAGAAAAGGCAGTTTATCAAAAGTAGAAGTGAAGAATGAGGAAAAGAAGCTTAATGGGATCACAAATGATTCAGAGCAACTCGGCGCGGATATGATGAAGTTACCCTCGAACCAACGACGGCAGAAGAAGATGAGTGTGGAGTCAATGGCCGCCGTCACCATACAGAAAATGTGGAGGGGCTACAGAAGTAGAAACTTGAATAAGGACACGCTTAGGATACTGCACGCCATACAAGCGGCGCGGGCTCGACAACATATACAGTAAGTAATACTACTTGTATCAATTACGCAAATATTATCATTAACGAACGTTTTTCTCTTTCATGGCTTACTGCGGTAATTGAGCATTAATATTACCATATTGTCTTTTTTAAATTTTCCTTTACTTTTTTGTTATGGGATTAACCGGTAAACGAGCCTCCTACGTGTCCATCCTGAAACACCAGAGGCGTTACAAGTGCGTTACTGGCCTTCTGGGAATTTGGAATGTGAGGATTGTGTGAGATTCGGGGATTGGGGAGACTGGGGAAGGGGGAGCGTAGGCTAATTGGGTTTCCGGTAGCCTCACTCATACGACGAAACACAACAGAAGCGTTGTTTCACGTCGGTTCTCTGTGAGGCCGTGGTATTAATCCGGTCGACCCGGCCGATGCGTGCCGAAGCATGGCTCTCCATGATATCAATCTTGACATACATAGTTGTTCTATATGGTACTGGTATCTAATATACTGTGAGGTCGTTACTGTTTATAACATAATCGTGTATATTGAATAATGTGTATATTATAATACTAGGAGGTTGACATGCGACATGGAGGCTACGAAAGCCGCGTTGGAGTCTGAACGAAAAATTCAACAGCTTCAGATGCAAGCAATTAACGCGTTGTGGAAGAAAGTCTCTACTCTACAGGCAACTGGTGAGTTTGTACACATAACTATTATGACATATTTATAATATAAAAAATAAGAATGTTTTAAATTGGGATGTTTCAATGTTTTCTTCCAGACAACCAGAAGCAGCGATTATCGGAGTCCGATGATAACACAGATGCATTGCGACAGTTATCAGAGACATGTTTCAGCCTCCAAGCACAGGTATGCAACTGTATTCAGCAATTAGGTAGTTTCCTAAGTTTAAAATAAATTGTTTTGACTTTTCAATTCAATAAATAATCATACACTCATCTATTGATTTGACGATTTACCTATTTTTGGATATGTTTTCGCTAATTTTAAGGAATAAGCATGCTGGTCGCGAAAAATATGATGACGTTACAGGTCCAATACAAAATTCATATAAAAGTAACGTTTTTGACATTTCAATAAAAGTATTCAATTTGACTAACTGGCAACTACCGTATTATTACTTATTTTAACAAAGTATTATTAAGTATGTAGTAGACTATTATCGAATATTTATCATACATCGAGATAACGTGAGTCCTTCACATACATACGTACATACATACACACATACATATAAGCGTATCGTCACGCCTGTCTCCCATTGAGGAGACAATAGAACGCAATGACACGATTCGTGCATACCTCTTTCGCTTCATCTATGTTCATCAATCTCTGTATCAATCGCTACTTTACATTGTGAACTGTTACATATGCTTCTATTATCTGTGGCAAGCTTGCCACTTTCCAGAGTGGAAACCTATTTGTGTTCTTTTTTGTTTATGAAATATAAGCAGTGTGCTTCTAACATAAAATAATAATATTTTATGTGTGAATAAAGCTAGTTAGTAAGTAAAAATTACTAACTATAAAAGTGTAAGTAAAAATATTATTATTTTATGTGTGAATTAAACTGTCAAACACCAAGCGGTCACCGGTGACCGCTACCTATTGTTCTATAAATACGATACTCGACGAGTTAAGCAATAAAGTATATTGAAAATATATAACAAGTACATAATAATAAGTACCTAACAGTAATTACTGTTACTAGGTGGCAGAACTTCAGGGCTGTATGCAGGAGGTTTTGAAGGCAGTTTCGAGCAAAAACCATGCAGAACCGGTTGGCACCCAAACAGATATCACGGCAGTCGTCACTCCGCAGGTGAGCTTTTTCTTGTTCCATTAACTTATTACTTAATTAATTGAAAATGAGAAGTTCTACAAGTTGCCCCACATTAGGATTTTCTCCTGTGTCGTGGGTGCGTTTACAAACATACAGGTTCACATACATAATGACACCCAGACCCGAAACAACAATTTGTGGATCACACAAAGTGTTGTTCCGTGCGGGAATCGAACCCGCGAAACGTTGCACGGCAGTCGGTTGCCCAGCCAGCGCACCAACCGTGCAGTCAAGTCACAACGGGACTTACGGATGAACTGTGTAACGTTAGGATCCGGTTAGGTTAGGTTAGTTATACAGGCACGGAGGGATAAACTGTTGGAAACCAAACCGAGATCTCTATACCGACTGCCAAATGTGGGTATTATAACAACCTCATTCTTCAAAGGTTGATTTTCATTCGTTCAGCAATACTTATGTCTTCGCAGTGATGATAATATATCAAGGTAGTTAATTTACATGTATGAAATCGAATTTTGTAAACGGAGTTAAGGAGCATGAATTTCACGACACAGGGAATACTAGTGTAAGGTCTCGGGCGCAACCTAACCGTAATCATTTTTCTGAAATTAACTTCTTATTCTAAGGTCGTCAGTTGATGTTTTTTTTATATAATATACAGGAAGAACGGTGCACGTGGTTACGTCGACCGCAGTCTCTGTCACTGAGCGGCGCCCGCGACCCGCCCGCCGCAGTACCTGTAACGCACAGGGAACACTCGTGAGTCCTATAATATACCACGTGGATTATGGCCGATCTTTCGGATAAATTAAATACTCTTCCGTTTTTACTCGAGTATCTATCCAAAAAGTTTTAGTATTTATTCAGTATTTTATTTATCCATTTTCCAAACATTGCCCATTTCTACTCCCACACTACAAACTTACATCGTATATACGTATGATAATCTTAAGAAGGCCCTGTCACCGGAGTTTTGTGAATGAGGTTACCGGAGGCAGAATTATCCCCCCTCCCCAGTCTCCCCAATCCCCGAATCCCCTACAATCCTCAAAATCCGAATTCTCAAAAGGCCGGTAACGCCCTTGTAACTCCTCTGGTGTTTCAAGGGTGACGCCGATTGCTTACCATCAGGTGACCCGTCTGCTCGTTTACCGGTTTATCACATAAAAAAATAGACTGTTCTAAGTTTACCAATCTTATGATCGATTAACATCAGTATAAAATGTTGCAGAGAAAAGTCGAACGAAACGGCCGCTCTGGGTATAGAGCGAACCGAGTCCGTTATAGAAGAACAGGCAGCAGGAACAAACGAAGTGGACGTTGATACGAGGGCGTGTGACGTCATCGCCGACTGATACCACCAACAAGTATGTATTGGAAATAACTTCAACATTGAAGTTGATACTTTTCAAATACTAATAACACATGTTCAGGAGATGGTACACTTTAAAATAGTAAATCTTTCTATACCGTCAATTTTCATCGACTTGTTATCCGCGAGTATTAGTTAACAGTAATTATTTATTAGCATTAATATATTTGAAGAGTGATGCGATTACTTATATATACGAGATTAGTGTGTCTTTTGTTACGCTTTTGAGGATCTTGACGTGGTCTCAGTATGTAGGTATAGCTAAAAGATTCAAGACACTCATTATCTTTCCTTGTATTGTGCAGCTCAGAAACAAATCTCTAACAGCAATTCCGTCAAAAAAGCAGCAATTTTCCATGACATATAACTTAAGCAAATGTGTATCGTCTCCTCAATATAGTAATAGGATTATATTGTAACAATCTGCATCAGTTTTCTTTTAAACTTAACCTGTAAGTGTAAACAGGAGAAAAATTTCGTTGGTCTCGAAATAATACAAATTGAAACTATTCACATTAGATGTAAGGCATATTCGTTGTACACTAAAGCAAAGCTTGGTCTGTATAGTGGGCTTGTTAAGTAATTAGGATGGTATTGTGTAATTTTATGGTTTATAAGAAGCTAAACGATCTTTAAGAACTTATTTATTATTCTAACTTTATTTTATTTTTGCCAGAGGGGTTAGTACGAGTTTCTTTTTCGTTTAAAGTAATCGAAACGAGTACGCGTTCGGCGCTGTGATTGGCTGGTGTCAAAGAACCAACCAATCAAAGCGCCGAACGCCGTCTCGTTTCGATTACTATAAACGAAATACGAACTGTATACAGTTTTGCAGGAAAATATATTTGCTATCAATAAAATGGGCACAATTCATTGATGTCAAGTTGTTAGTGGTGTTAACCAAAGAGTTTGATGGTATTATAAAAGACAAAAACTAAAACAATTTTCTACAAAGACACTAAAATAATTTATGCTACAAAACTGTCAAGGGAATTAGACTGCTTGGAAATGAATAATGACAATTTGTTAACTTAGATATAAGACGAGGCTTAAGTGTTAAGTGTACCTATGTAATTTAATCCTAAAACAGCTGTGTTTAAAAAAATATGTATTCAACAATTCTTGTCAAAACAAACAATTTATTGCAGGAACGGCTACTTGAATTAGAACATAAAATACCTTTTCGTCACTAAGTAATATATTCCGCCTTCTACTAGCCTCTGTACAAGTATTATTATATGTATATGTTGCAGCCAACTAGCTTAATTAGCTATTTAAAAAAATAGCCTGAATTATTAGAGAAATTTAGTCATTTAATCAAACATTAAATGACTGAATTTCTCGGTCAGGCCGTAAAAGAGTGAAGGGATTATAATTAAAACCAGAATGGTATTGTTCATTAGATTAGAACTGCGACTAGCACATAATAGGGTACATGAATTATTATCTTAATGTCCGTCTAGTAGATTATTTTAAAACATTACACACGTATTTTTTATTTTTTTACAGAAACGAATACTTTCGACGATATATTGATTTGAAATGTCGCGTGACGTCACTTTTATGTACATTTTACACGTAGAAATGACGTTTTAGCCACCACTCCTAAACTGTGATTTGTTATATCTAAGTATCATTTTATTACACAACAAAATAAAAAATACACGTTAATATTTTTTTATTACCTAACTGACGAGCTAATTAGATTGCACGGTTGGTGCGGTGGCTGGGCAACCGGCTGCCGTGCAACGTGTCGCGGGTTCGATTCCCGCACGGAACAACACTTTGTGTGATCCACAAATTGTTGTTTCTGGTCTGGGTGTCATTGTGTATGTGAACTTGTATGTTTGTAAACGCACCCACGACACAGGAGCAAATCCTAATGTGGGGCAACGTTTTTTAAAAAAAACATAAAAACAAACATAATTAGATTTTTAATTTTCATACCCTGTCATCATCCCTATTCGAATCACCATCATTGCGATATAAGTTATTTAACAGGCTAGGGCGTTAATTGAATGGGTTTTTAAACTAGTTGACTGCGACATCGACATAAATACTATACAATTACTTTACTGCACAATATAAATTAAATGCAACAGCTATTTTCCATTTGCTGATATCCTTGCCGATTGTTGATTTATTTTTAGGTCATGTAATGTTTATGTATATTTATACGAGATACAAAACGATTAGTCAAGTCACTTCTATTATGTTCTTTTCCATATTCACGATTTTATTGCATTGTTGTTAGGTGTTTACCGTCTAATCATGTGTTTTAAACATAAACTATTTTTTAATTATGTTAGATGTGGAATGTAGATGTCAGGACAAACGACATATTAAAATAATTTTACTCGTTTTGTCAGTGTTCTAAGATAAACACCTTATATGTTGGTTGATAATATAGTACTCTGTTAATTAATAATATAATGCATAATATTGACATTATTATTATTTTAAATTCTGATGAATGTAAATAGGTTATGCTTAATAGTACACGTGGTTGTTGATTTTGAAACGAAATTATTATGATATTGTGAGAAATTCAATTAATTAGGTTATACGGGTCAAGCCACGCTAGGACGCTATACAATTAGTCGACAACCGAACCCGACGCGACGAGTATAAAGTCCATGTCGCATCATAACATCACGCCTTTTACCCCCGAATGGGTAGGCAGAGGTGCACATTACGGCACTTAATACCACTGTACAATGTAACACCCACTTTTCACTATTATGTTATGAGTCCCATGTAATAGGGAATGAGTCTATTGCCATATACCGGGTACATTTCCAGACTCCGTGCTACTACTGAGATTTTTAAAAACCCAGTAATACTTTGCCTGACCAGGGAATCGAACCCGAGACCCCTTGCCTGGCAGTCACACTTGCGACCACTCGGCTAACGAGGCAGTCCATGTCGCACTGCGCTAATATTTTATTCGAGTAGCGAGTAAATTAGTATCGGGCGAGTAGCACCTCTCTCGCTCGCATAAAATACTAGCATAGTGCGAACTTATGTATGACGATCGTGATAGAATGACGCTCGCCGCGTTTACCAGTACCTTTATTATCTTCGAACAGTTACATGAGTAAGCCATATAACATAAATAATTAAAGGGTTCTAAGGCGAATGTTCCAGGGTAGCCTGCGAAATTTTAATTGTTAAATGAAAGAAAGAAAAACCCTTTATTACGCCACAATAAACATGCAGATAACAATACAAGAACACACAAAAAGTTCATGGTGCGTCGCTGTGCAAAAGGCCGGAGCTCAGAGGCCTTAGTAACACACTCGAGTTTCATTTACGTTTAAAGTAATCGTAACGAGTACGCGTTCGGTGCTCTTATTGGTTGCTTCATTGGCGCCGGCCAATCAGAGTGCTGAACGCGTACTCGTTACGATTACTTTAAACGTAAATGAAACTCGTAATAAGGCCTTAGCTTAATGCTGTGGCCCGGACATGGAGGGTCGAGTGTGATGTTCGTAAGTGTTTTCCAATTTACATGATAAAATATAATATATTCGCGGTAGTAAAATATGTATAACACAACAATACTTGTTAAAAGTTAACAGCTCCGCGTTTTAGTCAAGTTTTACAATGTACTATTTTAGTAAAAAAATAACGTTGTAGAACTTCTCTAAGTTACAGTGTAATGTTGATTATTGTTAACTAGTATAACTGTATAAACACATACATTTCACTACCACGCATATAATATTTATGTTTGATCATCATACTACCCGATATCGTGCTGTAAAACGCAAAAATCTTATTTCGGGATACCCTGAAACATTGACCTTAATACGCTTTAATTCAGAGTTTTACTGATAAATTGTCTTTATACTGCGATTTATGTGTTTCGAGATATCTTTAGCAGCCTATGTGTTTATCAGAGTTAAATTATGGACAGCATTGTTTAAAAAAAAGATGGTACTTCTACCTATGTACCTACATTGTACAGTTATATCATTTATATGAATCACAAAGCACTGACTTCACTGCCATTTTGCAAATAAAAGTAAATACACAATTTTAAGACAAACTTAGGTACTTGTTATTATGTATTCTCTGATGTATAGACATATTATGTACACAAATCGGCTAATAGGGCAGTATTAATAAGTGTTAAAAAGTATAATTCTCCGGACGGATATAATGACTTAGATAATAAATGTTAATATTTATTTAGATTAAAATTATACAAAAAAAAACGAGGAATATTGGACATTCCTAGAATATGTCTATACATAGGTTAAATAAGATACAATTTCAGTATTTATTAATGACACGATTATAATTTTTCGAAGTGATGTGAAAAATATAGTTAGTTTGCATCTATTTAAACGTGTTTCTATACTTAAGGTTTTACTGTTATCGCTTAAAATAGAAATAAAAACTAGGATAAAAGAATTGATGCCAAAATAAGTGGTCTACTCAGAAGATTTGGTTAAGCCCTACTTAGGTAATTAGATATTACACATTGCCTTAAAATGCTCGAGACATTTGTCTTACAAAAATGTACTTCGGTAGTACCCAGCAGATCAATAGGTTTAGATGTCTCCGTATTTATTTGTTGCAGTAAAAAATAATTTTAATGGACACAAATAATACAGGGCATCGCACGTGACTATGTATCATACGAGTAATAATAAACTTTATTCTTTTCTAAACTGAATGTTTGTCAGCAGAAAACTTATTTTGGTATAAATTACTAGAAGCAGTATCCGCTTGGCGTTAGCAGTCGAATAGTAGACAATTGAACACAGAGTACATTCATTAATTTCACTAAGTGCTTGTATACGCCAACTCGCGGGCGCGGTCCCGAAATATCAAACATATGATATGATACCAACGACATCCCGCTACATATACCGCACACGCGTTTTGTAAGTGAACACACTTTGATTTCGTTTCGCGACTCCGTTCGTGAGTCAGCGTAGCCAACAATGATACGTCTTTCATGAACCGTCACAA